TTTATATTTGATATTAATTGGTGTAATTTTTAACGAGAAAATAAGGATGTAGAAGTAGCAATAGGATATAAGTTTAGCATACCTTTTCAATTATGGTAATTTTAGGAATGCAAATAAAACGTTGTTGAAAAGAAATGATAGAATATTATGTGATTGTGCTTATTATGCAGAAAATAATATGATATCAAATAAAATGCAAAGTTGTTTTTTTCATAGACAAATAGTAAAGAAGTTATAAACTAAAGATGTAGGAAATAAATGAAGTTTGTTTTTCTATAAAATGTTCCACACTGTTCCGCTTTTCACTTATTGATTTTAGAGTGCTCTCTCATGAGTCTCATTCGCTCTTCAACTTGACCTTCTTTCAGTTTGTATATTTAATGCAAAATATTTGAGTGCTATTGGACTATGAAAGAGATACAGAGAGAGTTAGAGGTATAAGTGGCACTTTGTACACAAGAGTTAGTAAATGGCAGAAATAGAATGCAGATTGGGTCCTTCATTGGATTCTCTATCATTAAAAGAAATGTAACGATAAATACCATTGAAACAAAAGTAGCTTGGAGCTCATAAAGTTGTGAATACCATTGTACGCAAAATTAAGCTTTTATGCGAATCTAAACCCAAGTATGGGTATCTTAATGACTAAAATTATAAGTGAAAATATGCTATGTAAGGTTTGACTTAAATAAGTAAAGATATGTTTGGTAAAGTGCATGCTATATTGATTATAGTTATGTGTATCGTTGTTTTTTTAATTTATTTGACTCCACTTGACATTTTTATAAAACCTTAACGTTTAAACTGATTTTCAAAATACATTATAAATTTATATCGCATATAAAATTTAAAATAGACCATATGTTTAATTTTCTTAGTTGGTGAGCTGTATTATTCTCCATAAGGATAATCTATTTTATTATTTAATATTTAAAACGTTCGGTAAATGCTATAACTTTTGATTAGTTATATAAGTATATGTAAATAATTGAATTGGTAAATTAATTTTTTAAAGTTATATCTTAACTTGTGTTGTTAAATCAACTTTTTTAGGAGTTTAATTAGTTTATTTCTATTTTTATTTTTGATAAAAAAAATTCAGTTGTACTTGGCAAGTGTATGAATTATGTTGAATAAAAGGGTGTATATCTTCTGGACATTATCCCATACGTGTATATCTTCTGGATTTGGCGTCTGTTTGAGTTAATTCAATTTAAAATTAATTTATGTATTTTTGTGAAAAAGAAAACTCAAAACATAATTAATCACTAAATATAGTTTTTTTATTCCTAAATATAGTTTTTTAAATTAATTTACATGCACATAATTGGCAAACATTATTTTTTGATAACTATCATTATTAATAAACTTTTGGTAGATATAAGGTAGATGGCAGTCCCACGTATGGTGAAATGTAGTTACTATTTAATAGCAGAAAATCTCAACTTTTTTTTTTATGTGAATTTAAAATAGCAAAAACATAAAATGGAAAAAAAATGCATTTATTATAATTTTAAACTAAAGTATGTTATAATCTTATTCAATTATTTTAAAGGGGATAATTTAACAATTTTTAATAAAATGATTTGTTCTGATTCAATTAAATTGTGAAATATGAGTTATAAATGTATGAAATACAAATTTTCACAGTATTTACATTTTTCTCACTTCTCTTTTGCTTCTTCTTATAAAATGTTATAAAATTATGATGTGTAAACATCTTAATAATATTATCATCATTCTTTTAACAATTTTTATTTATCTCTCTTAACTTACTACATAATACCACCTCTATTTTTCGGAGATGTGAATTACACTTTCATATGTCACTCTTCATTTATTTATTTTTATTCAAGTAGCAATGATACTGCCATGTTATAATATAATTAATTAATAAAAATAAATTTTATTTAAAGAAAAAGATAATAAATATTTTAAAGTGAGAATAGACTTATTCATTCTCATTTATTTGTGGAGAGAGTAATTTTTTGTTCTTATTTGTATGTTGATGTAAAAAAAATTAAGATAATATTAATTGCTCTTATTATTATTTTTATCCATTTAAAAATATTTACATTATTTAATTAAGTCAAGGTAATGAAATATTTTAATTTGTATAAATTTACGAAACAGATAAAGATTAAATAAAACTGATATGAATTATATATCACACATTTAACATTTATCTTTTCTCTGAAGGCGATGAATGGGTTTCTGGAAAGCAAATAGGCCTTTTGACTAAATTGAATGAGGATGGAACTGATCAAACAACCGTACGAAGTAGGACCCCAAGTCCTTTGCATCATTTCTTTTTCATTCACACCCTTTTAAGTTATGTTTCTTGTCGCTATATGCAAATTCATTCAGGATATTTACAGCAACTTCATTTATCGGTGAAAAGCTGAAAATGTAAAAATAAAAGATTTTCAAAATTTTATAAAGGCCAAATGATAATTTTTTTTTAATATTGATTTAACATAACATGCTAACATTCTTACTAAATACTAGAGTTGATAAGAAATCAATTAATGCTTTTAGTCCAAATGTCATGAAGCTTGATTTCTTTTAATTACGGTCTTGCATTCGCTGTTTTTTGTTGAATGAAAAAGTTGGACACTCAAAAGCAAATGCAGGACTGCTAATATTTCGCAAAATAATAGCATGAATCGACCAAATACTGATTATTTTTCTTCCGATTATGTGAGTATTCAATACATTTGAATTTTAATTGATCCCTTCAACCTCTTCTCCAATAAATAATGCTTTAATAAAATAAAGTATTCGTTGTATTCAAAATATAATAATATTTTTTTCATGATACGATTCACTATTCACAATTATTTAAACTTAGCTTTAAAGATTAACATAAATAAAATGATTATTTTGAAAATAAGGAAGTGAGAATAGTGATCATACCAAAGCCTCTCTGATACTGGCAGAATGATATATATTTTTTTCTTTCAAAACTTTCTGCCAAATAACTCCTTAAAAAATACGGCTGAATGTGATAGAAAATAAAAATAATGTTTCTAGTAGACCCAAATCTCTGTGTGGAATAAAGATTGAGGATCCTCTTGAGTTTTAAAACTAAGAGCAACAGGTGTAGTTCAGAATCTCACCTTTTATATACATTAATCTTCATTTACAATATTTTTTGCTAAATAACCAAACGTGTTTTACGACAGCAATTGAGCAGTTTTCTAAGACTGCAGACGATCTTATTCCCTTTGTATCTACTGCTTTCTTCTTTACTGTTTCCACGTTTTACTTTGAATACAAAATAAATTTTTTCTTTTATAAAAGAATTATGATCTCAAAGTTATTTTGTATTTTAAATTATAACATTTAATGATAAAACAATAAAAAATTACTTCAATAATGAAAATTTTAATAAATATTTTATTTACTCATTTTTTTGTTTACCATTGTGTATATCATCAAAGTTGCTTTTTTATTAAATAATAAGAATAAAAGTTTAAAAGCTTTCATAAATTTTCCCACTGAAAATATAAAGAAATTTGCTTGATTTTCTTTTCTTCGTTATAAATTATTTAAAAATTCAAATAATAAAATAAGAGCATTACAATTAGTGCAGCTGCGCATGACTAGGGATAATGGAAATTCAAAATATTGATGCTTTTAGAGGTGAAATCTAGGGGCAGAATATTTGTTGTTCAGTGATATGATTAAGTTTTCAAATTTCTAAGTTAAGAAGAGGGAAATAGTGGTGCAGTTATGTAAATTTGATAAGCATTCACTTAGTATTACCATGTAGTCTAATTGGGACATCAATTACATAATCTTGGGTTCTAGTTGTAATGAGAATTATTTTTAATCATATTTTAACTTTTATTAAAATTATATTAATACAAAAATTTACAGTTAGCAACGGTGACATGAAGATGAAGTCACAGTTAATCAAAAGTAAATTTAAACATATATAGACTAATGATGACATAAAGATGAATACACAGGTTGAATAAGTAATTCTGTCACTTCCAGATTTTTTAAATTTATTATAAAATTATAGGAATTGTGTCATTTTTTTATAACTATCAAGAGTTATTGAAAATTGATGATTATAAATATTAATAGATTACTGTGATTCATTAAATATTCTTTAAATGATAGATATGTATTTCTGTCAATAGAAGATATTAAAAAAACTCATTCCTATAGAACTGAAAATCCCTCGAGACGCAACATGCAAATCGCGTCCTTTACAAAAAACCTTGATGAGTGTTTCTTTGTCGTTCTCAACAAGTCCAATGCACAACACATTACACAATAAACCCATTATCCGATTGCCGAATAACGAAAATCCTCTTAGCACCTCACTTCCCATACAACACAACTGCACTCTCTGATCAAACCTCCATCTGTCAGTCTTCAGTATCTGCAACATTGATGTGCATACACTGTTTCAGCATCCAAAACCAACGCAAACATAAAATTCAATTCAATGAAAAATAAATAAACAATCATATAATATTCACGTTAATAGTATAGTGTACAACTGTGTCATAGACTTGAGGAAATTAAAATATGAGTATAATATAAAAAGGTTGTTTTTCACACTTACAAACCCTATGCTGCTACTCTCTCCCTCGAGTGGTATTTCCAAAGCAAAGCAGAAAGACAAAGACCGCAGGTTCTTTCTTTCATCTCTTTATTTATGAATTATTTTATTATTTTTGAGCACTTCTTTTTTCTCTCAACTGTCTTGTCTCACTGTCTTTTTCTCAAGTGCTCTAACCCTTCTCCACTGCCTTCAAAACAAACTTTGCAGGCTTTGCTGTCAGAATCTCTCTCCACCACCCTATAGGCCTCTATTTCTTTCTCTCTCACAGGTAGTATCTGCCAAAGATATAAAGGAACACCTAGACCACTCTGCAAAAGCTTTTTACAAACTTGGTCTTTACACATCCAACACAACTAACGAAGTTAATTAGCCAAACACTAAACCAAAAGCAAGCAAACTTAACAGTTTCTCTCTCTCCATGGACTTCCATCTGAAGCAATGGAGAAACCAGCATGAGTCAGAGGAACAACATTCTACAAAGATGCCAAAACTTCTTCCTGAATCCCATCAACACCCACAATCATCTGCCTCTGCACTCCCTTTGTTTGTACCTGAGTCCAACAGCAAAGTCAGCACCCTGTCAGATTCAACATTAGCTACTACTAACAGATTTCCCAGTAAGTCTTTTTTTTTTTTCCATTTTCTTTTCCTTTTGACATAAAGAAAGAATGTTTGATTAACTTCGGGCATTAGTTGCTTACTTTTCAAGTTTGCTTCTAGCTTGCTTACCCACCTTTCTTCACACTCATTTTTGGTTCTTACGTTTTCTCTCCTTTTTCCCTTTCTGGGGTGCTATCTCTTCTCTTTATCATGTCTGCTATAGGGATGGGAAGTTATTTCAGCTTGGCTCAGTGGCAGGAACTTGAGTTGCAGGCTTTGATATTCAGGTACATGTTAGCCGGTGCTGCTGTTCCTCCTGAGCTCCTTCAACCAATCAAGAAAAGCCTTCTTCATTCCCCTCCCTTTTTCCTTCATCACCCTCTCCAACATTACCAACCTCCTTGTAAGTCTCTCTCTCTCTCTCTCCACTTCTAGTTATTCTTTACCCTCACACACGGTTCTCTATATTACTACACAAAAAAAAAAAAACACTACTATTTTTTTTTCTTTTGGTGTTTTGTGATATCATTCAACATCCTGCAAAACTTGTTTTTCATTTATTCTAACTGAAGGTAAAAACAAAGTTTACATTTTGGACAATACACCATGTTTGTTGCATCAGCGTTACCAATTGGTGTAGAAGTTAAAGGCTTTATTTTTGTGAACTTTGTTGTTGCAGCAGTGTTGCCATCTGGGTATTGGGGTAGAGCAGCCATGGATCCAGAGCCCGGTCGTTGCCGGAGAACCGACGGGAAGAAGTGGCGGTGCTCGAGGGACGTGGTGGCTGGGCAAAAGTACTGTGAGCGCCACATGCATCGTGGTAGAAACCGTTCAAGAAAGCCTGTGGAACTACCCACACCAGCTAGTGCTTGTGGTGGTGGTGGATCTTTGGGTGGTGCTTCTTCCCTTTCTTCACCGCCACTGGCTACTGCTTCACTCAAATCCCCTTTTGATCTTCTTCATCTTAATGAACGGTAATCATAATTAATTCCTTTCTCGTTTCTCTGTCCCTGTCTGTGCTTTTGTGTTTAGTTAACTAGGATGATAGCAGTTTAAGCGTTCCTTTAAGATTTTATTTTGAACTATTAATAATGATGTGTATGTGTATCTAATAAAAGGCAATCAGCGAGTTAGCTTTGTTTTGGAAAAGGGTGACTAAATGTTAGTTCTACCTGAGCTTGATCTTAATATGGTGGGACATCCTTTGCTTCCGAATTTATTTGTTTCCTTTTCTGTCAGTGTCATTTTTTAGATTAATTCATTGACGTTGAAAAAGTAAGTTTGAATTTGGTGTATTCTCAATTGAACAAATAATCAAAGGAGACATGCTTCATCCTTGTGACTCAATGTACTGATACCTAACTTGGAGAGGGACCCCAATGGAGGCATGCCCACTTTGTCTTGTACTTGGGAAATAAGATAAGATAACAAGTGGGATCTATTCTCTATTTAATTAATATAAAAGCATTAGGACATAAGAGGAAAAAAAAGTGATGCATTTTGATTTTATTAAAAGAATGAAGAACAAAAATGTCTTGTTTATGTTCCGTAAAATGCATGCGAAACACTGCTTTAGATTTGGAACAAATAATCCCCAACCGTTGCTTTTTAAACTAAAAATGGAAATCATGCTGTCCTTGTGTTCCACGGCAACAATTTAATTTTTGGCTCCGTTTTGATACAAAGGCCGTATTTGATATTTTTGCTGTCTTGTAACTGGGCCCATATGTAGTTCGTCGGGGACCAAGAATGAAGATAAGAGCTTGTTTGATAATGAAGATCATGTGGGTGGGGATGGAAGATCAGGTGGCCATATGCTGAGGCATTTCTTTGATGATTGGCCACGATCACTGCAAGAATCTGACAACGCTGAAAACAATGCTGGAAGGTTGAACTCAGCCACATGCCTCTCTATTTCAATGCCTGGAAATACTTCATCGGATGTGTCATTGAAGTTGTCCACTGGCTATGCAGAGGATCCGGGCCCAACAAATGAGACGGGGGACCTTCAGGCTCAGGCAGAACAATTGCAGCTGAATTGGGCCGGAGGGTGGGCTGCTTCTAGTCAAGTGGCTTCTATGGGAGGGCCACTTGCTGAGGCACTCAGATCTTCCACTTCAACTTCGTCTCCCACTAGTGTTTTGCATCAGTTGCCTCGTGGTTCTGTATCTGAGACCAGTTTCATTAGCACCTAAATTTAGTTAGTTGGTGCCCTAATTAATTCTCTCTTTTTTTTTTTTTGGGGTTTTGGGTTTACGTTCCACTTTTTGGAGCATTCTTGGACGACGGTTATGTTTGTATCAATCGTATGCACAACTCTTGTTTCTACGTGGGCAAGGAAAGGGACACCCGGTAACCAAATTGGTGCGTGCGGTTGATTCGTGTTTTTTTTTTTTCAATTGATGGTGGATTGCCCATTAACGTTGCCTTTTCTTGGAGGCATTACCTAAGTCTAGTCAGATTACCTCGGTTCCTAAAAGTATGGACACATTACTTGTCTGATTCGGCCCCCACCCTCTACTGTAAGTGAAAAAAGATCACATCTGATCTCCCAAAATACTCGATAATTCCCAGTATGTGAATAGAACATCCTTTCATGAGAGGGCAAATTTCTCAACGACGAAAACAGAAAACGAAAAGATGGTTTCAAGGCGGGTATTCACGAGTACAGGGATATTAGAACACTTACACGCGAAATCGTCTGAGAGACGAGTATAGGTAGGTCCATTTCCTTTTCTCGTTTTAAAAGTTGATGGCTGAAAGCACCTTTGCTAATGAAAAAGAAAAAAAGTTTTTCTTGCTCTCAACCTCCAATTAAGTCAAGTCATTGTTTTAAGGAAGGAAAAGAGAATAGAGACAGAAAATAAGGAAAAACTATTGTGATCTAAAGAAGCAAGATACGGATATTTTACTATAATTTATCAAAATAACTTGTTTTCAATAATTAAATTTATGTTATAAACGTTACTTAATGAATATTTATATCCAAAATCCAAGAGCCGAAAACTAATGGAAGCGCCTACTGAACTCTCACCCAGCATTGCCGTGAAGTCAGCACCATTTTCTTCTCACAGGTAATTATCATCATTTTTGCCACTTGGTCACGGCATAAAAAAGAACAAGCATTTACAGATGACGAATATAGACAGGTTATTGTAATTATTTTCCAAAAAACAGGAAAAGGAAGTGAAGGTGCAACCCTTGTTTTCTTGTTTTCCTGTATAATTACTTTATTAACACGGCACAGAATACTATATATTGCTACAACTCAAAATTTAAGTCTAAAAGGAGACATATATAGAAGCCTCCAGCAAAATTTCTCAGGGTATACGAGCCCCTTGGAAGCTTCTAAATCTTAAATAGCGCATGCACTTATGAAGATTGATATGTGCATAGGTACGTTGAGTCTCAGGTTCGCGGACCGTAGCTTTGTTGATTCACATTTCGCAATCGCGATGCAACTTGAACATGTCAAGACGCTAAACTCTAAAACGTAAAACAGAAGGCTTGGTGTGTGTGTTATATACATAACATACCTAGCAAGGCACTTGTACAAGATTTTGACGATAATCTCCTGCCACACTTAAGAATTAACTAGCTCTCCACTTATTTCACTTTATTTCTGCTTCTTAATCAAGTGTCGGGCCACCAACGTTGTGTGGCACGTTTGATTAGGGAGTTACTGCATCCATGCCATTGTGTACTTGACGTTTATCTCAGAAACATGTCATCAGGGTTCAACTGGCTCTTCTTCCTCTGCTTCATCTGCAAGGGCATAAACCGCTGCTGTTCTGCAAGGGGCATAGATAAGAAAGGATCGAGGTCGGTCATCGTACCATCCTTCCTGTAAAATCACCCAGGAGAGTTCAAGAGTTTGTTTATTTCATTGGGATAGTAAGAATGGTAAAATCATGTCTGCAAGAATGTAAAAAGAAGTATTGAAAAACACAAACAAGACACAATGACACGCTTGTGTCCATTCTAGAGTGTGTGCACACGCAGACACAAGTACAAGGAAGTCCCGTACAGTGGTGAAGTACTCAGAAGCGTGGTTGAGCCTACTGAAGCCACCAAACAAGGCATCATCTGAATCCAAGACAATCTGGAAAAAAGAGAAGCATAACCCGTTATACAAGATTAAACATATTTGCAAAACTCTGAAAAAGAAAATTAGCATTGGTCATGTTGCAAGCGTAGCATCCCCTGTCAGTAGTGCTCTTGTATCAAAAGTAGATATGCTCTCATGAACAAGTACACCGTCATTTCTGATTTAACTAACAAATGGGATGGCAGTGACCCTGGGACATTTATAAGATGGAATTGGAGAAAAAGAGTGGAAGACTTGACTACATTTATTTTGGGGACCTTTGGCTCATATTTCTTGACTAAACTTCGCTAAAACAAGCATCAAATAGCTATCAGTTCAGCTAATTACAATTCACTGATGATTTGAACTTTGCGGACAGGGAAGCACTTTTACCCAAATAACACTCAGTGGAATGTAAAGTAAGAAATAGCAATTGGTTTTACTATCGTACAGACCCATAGTTAAAGAAGTGAATTTGAGGTAGAGAAAATGATTTCAACAGTAATATGCATTCGTGGCAAAAAATAAAAATAAAAATGCATTTCACTTTCATATTGAGAAAAATGATAACTCGGTGCTCTTTAGGGTTTTATGATTTGAAATTTTACTTAATCCACATGTGCTTTTCTGAATTGGGATTTTAGTTAGGAGGTTAACCAGATAAATGATGAAAACCCTGTTTCTTTAGATGAAATAACAGATGGTATAGCTTTGCTTTGTTATTAAGGACTTCTAATATTACCATAATAGTCTAGCCATAATAAGGATACACAGAAATACCTTATATTTCCCCGGGGATGAGCAGCCAATTCTGTAATCTGAATAGCTGTTGGTCCAATGAAAATTGAAGACAAAGACTAGGTTTCCCCTTTCAAAGACTATAACTCTATCACCTTCATTTTTCCGTGAAATATATTGGTGCTCAGAAGTCATGAACTGTATCAAAGGTAAACACAGTTATTTTCCCTTAACTGTTCAGTATTCGAACAAGTATACATGAAAGTGAAGTTTCAATAACCGTGCAGGTAGAAGAACCTGTCTTGGAAGAAAAAGAAAATAAAAAAAATCTGCTTAGCGCTATTATTGTTATTATGACGATGATCATGTACAAAAACTCCAATGATGAGCAACAGCCATAAAACAGTTAGATAACCTTCCAATACATCAGAGCATTTCATTGACAGAGGCAGACAAAAAAAAGGAAGACTTACACCAAACTTTTCTTCTAGATGCTGCATGGCTTGATCAAACTCTTGCATCCCTCGATATCTTAGATACTCTGCATCACCCTGATTAAGCAAAACAGAAGATGATTTTTGTAACTTTTGAACCATAGCCTTTGTAAATTATTCTTTTTCTCTTTAGTTCATCATATTCAAATGTCCGACAACATATTGAGACTCAATATCATGGATTTAAATGCAAAATAATTCTAAACAGAAAGGCTAAGCCCTGTTCAAATATGTAGTTTGTTTTCTTAATGTTATATGATCGCTTCGACATGGCCCTGAGATTGAATTAGAACCCCACAAAAAGGAAATATCATCAATTAAATTAGTTCAATCATAAAGGCAAAGGACTGCAGGACGGACTGGATTGAGTAAATAATATTTGCAGGAGAAAAGTTATTTTGGAAAAAAAAAAGTTTCTAATAAGAAGGGTTTGGGGTCCTAATCACAAAATCAATCACGCATGTGCATGTTAAACAACCAGGCTCAGAACAATACCTATTCTGTAGCAGAAAAAATGGGGAAACTTATTACACATTCTATAGTTCCTCATGATTTTATCCTTATATCCACACGTAAGAATAAGGATGAAGAAAGAAAATGTTAAATCACACTCATTATTTTAACCTTCTTCAAGCATTACATCACACTCATTCTTCTAATTTTCCTTCAAACGTGTACAAATGATCATTATGCTTAAAATTCATCAGTAATAAGATGAACACGTTTTACCAGAGTGCAGTGCTCAACTAACCGAAATCTCAATATCTTATAAACATAAACAGAGGGATATAGACTAACAATTGCACAGATTGTAAATAAAGGAACGAGGAACTTACCAAGTCAAATCTACGCCTACATTTATCAAAACTGTTGTTATTCCCAGGAATTACTGCACCATTAGGAAGATGTTGATCACCCCTTGGAAAATCAATCCACTCTGAACAAAACAACAATGAACGGGCAACCTTGAAATAACTTGATAAAATCAAAATCCAAAACCTGGTCAAAGAATCTCTACATAAATAATGACAAGGTCACACATGCTTACCAGGATGGCCAAATTCATTCCCCATGAAATTCAAATACCCTTCACCACCAAGGCCCATGGTAATAAGCCTAATCATTTTGTGTAATGCTATACCACGATCTATACGAGGAGTAGATGGTCTGTCTAAAGCCATGAAATCATACATATCCTGAAGCAGCCAACAGATCATAAGAAAAATGTAAATACCAATGGAGAAATATACGCTTACAAAACAAAAACAAGTGTCTTTAAATGATTTAACAGAAGCAAAGAGAAATGAGGGTTGCCATATTAGGGGTTCTTTCTAAGATGCAAATCTCAACTTCATAATCAGAAGCTGATTGCAAATGCATATAAGAATTTACCACAGGATTTATAATAGTCAAGCAATTCTTTGTTTATTTATATGCTGTATATAAGAAATTCATTGCAACGGGAAGTTTCAAATGATAAACAAAACATATTCGAGAGCAAAACACCTTGTCCATCAACCAAAATGCAATTGTCTTGTCACCAACCAAGGCCTGGTCATGACTTTCAGCATAAGCCACGCATTTTTCCAGCCACCTTCTGTTTGTAAGTGTGTGGACTATATCACCCATTTTCCAGTCTTCATCTTTTTTCCTGCACAAAAAAGGACATGGTTGAAATCACACACGTTTTTTTACTTTCAAACTACTAGCAAACAGTAAGAATGAATGACAGTGGCCTATGGAGGTGAAACAAAGGGTTTTAGGGTTTGAAGTTGTACCAAAGGGACACACACTTTAATTGACACTTGCAATGATGAGGCACAAAAAATGTTGCATCATTTTGAGTTGCAAAGAATTAGCTAACACTCTAACAAGCTTCATAAGAGTGAAGGACTAACTTACACGTAGTATATTCTAATAAAGAATTATTCTTGATTCACACCTAGATTTTTATATTTGGAGGTGAAGCGAATTAAGAATAACAATTTAGCATCCCTTTGAAACTAGCACCTCAAAGCCCCTACTTTCCAAAGGACTAGCATATTCTATAAGCATGCTAATTACTGTTGTGAAGAAAAACCATGTCATATTAATTTGCCAATATTATTGAACATTAGTTTGATACTATTTTTTTGGGCGCATTGATGCAGAATGAAGAAGCATATCTAGCATATTACGATTTATTAGAACTCTCTTCTAGGACAGAGTTCTCCCCTAAGTTGGTTTCAGATCCTCTCAGGAGAAACAATCTAAATACTGTTCCCAAAATGCATGAATAAGATACGGAACCTAAAGGGTATTTATAACCCAAAGATTACAAAAATCTAAGATAAATGATAGTTCAATCAAATATAAAAAATATCACATAATTCTAATTAAACATGAAATCCTAATAATATGGTTCTCCATTCTACGTCAACCACTCTCATTGGGTTTAACCTAAATGAATATTTATCCCAATACCATACAAGGGATTGAATACCTATAGTCCAATTATAGTCTTTCTTTTGGGTCATTAATCTGTTAATTTTATCATTCTGCAGCACCATGCTGCCACTTTCAGGATGTGATATATGGGGTCAAAATTACATAACAAGATCATATACTTTTGCTTGCACATGCCTTATATTATATTATGTATATCCATAATTATGACTATTTAAAAGGAAACATAATATGCTGTATTTGTGCTCCAGAATAAAAACAGAAGGTTACTTGAGAATCTCAATCCACTTGTCAGCAACAGCCATATGCAGGCGATAATCAAAGCCAACCCCACCATCTTGGGTAGGAAGGCAGAATGTTGGCATTCCACTAACCTGGAAACGGAAAGAAAATTGAATAGTCACTGCCAGTTTTTATTGCATCAAATAGAGGGTTCAAGCAACAAATTGTCGTTACAACAGTTACTGGATCATCAATATACTTGACCACGGAGAATCAAATCAAACTAGAGAGATGACAACCACTCAATTTCTAGAACAGTTTCAATGAGGTGTAATAATTTAAAACTTTCAAGAGAACAACATACATCTTCACCAATTATAACAGCCTCGGGGAAGAGCCCACGAATGACATCATTAGCCAGCATCAGGTAAACCACAGCGTCAACATCAGTTGCATAACCAAAATACTCGTTGTAATTTCCAGTAAATCCGACCTGCAGCAAGATTGAATAATTAAAGAAAAGAAGTACATGATTGAGAAAGAATCCTATCTATGAGAGAAAGAGAATCCTTTTCTGCATTATCTGAATCAGACATTAGTTCTGTTGTCTAATACTCTAATATTCGGAGAAAATACATAATGGTATTTAAAATTCCACCCCTTTCAACTTCAATTGGCAATCCAATAATCCTTGATCACTCACTAAGAACAAAGGTATCCACGTTATGCCAAAATACCAAGAAATTAAAAACCAATTAGAATGTACCTGCAATCCATGATGTGTGTACATCATTGATGTAACGCCATCAAATCGAAATCCATCAAACTTGTATTCATCCAGCCACCATCTTGCATTTGAAAGTAGATACCTCAGTACCTAAATCAGAACTAAAGTAAGTCACTAGTGACCAAAAAGTATAGAAGAGTCACAATGGAATATAGTGCCAGAACTAACTTCCCAGCTTCCATAGTTAAAAAGGCGAGAATCCCACATCCAATGATAACCTCGTGACCCAGGATGGAAGTAATGACCATCAGTTCCATCAAACATGTTCAGGCCATCCAGTGTATTATTTGATGCATGGCTACATTCATGAGATATTGGTAATCAGGTCTAAGCAGCAACTTTAAGTACCATGGAAAATATCTTGCATGTAATATCATTCATGTAATGTTAATTGTGTACAAGGTTGAAAAATAAGAACTAGAGACATTGCCAAAATAATGAATAATAATAACATATTAAGTATACTCATTACCTGTGTACAATATCCATCAGAACAAGCAGACCTAGTTCATGGGCTCTGTCTATCAGAGACTTAAGTTCCTCTGGAGTTCCAAACCGGCTGCTAGGTGCAAAGAAATTTGTAACATGGTACCTGTGTCATGCAGAATAATATTTTGAAAATCAGGCCATTAAATTTAAAAGGAAAACGCTAATGCACTGAGAAACAAGAAATATAGCACATAAAACTGGCAGTTAATGTTGGAATCACATAGAAACCATCAGCAATTTCTGAGGGGAAAAAATAATGACAACAGAAGAGTTACCCAAAGCTGGCATAATAAGAATGTTCTTGGATAGCCATAATCTGGACAGCATTATAGCCAAGCCTTTTAATACGAGGTAGTACATCATCTCTAAAATTGACATATGTGTTGATTTTTGGCTCCTGAACCACGTTTCATAACATTGTTAATAGTAGAAAAAGAATCAGGGCTTTAAATAAGCACTTTCATGAATGTCATATATTTAATCTCTAATTCTATGCAAAATATTCTATTTTTTTAAATGCAATTGACATTATGGTGTGAAAAACGACAATGTCTTCAATGCAAATAAATCATTCAATAAAGAATTAAGTTTTCCTTTACAAAATTTAAAGTATATTTTCAAGTAACAACTATTAGCTTTTGCTTAGCATTTATTGGACAAGGAGTTGGCATCTAATAGTGTTGCTTATGTGGAATGGTAAGATAATTTCACTTTATGGCAGAGATTAAAGAAAGAATTTCAGAAGAAGTATCCATCTGCAGTTTGAAAAGATCATTTTTTGCTTTTGAAAATCACAGAATCACAAACGGTCCTGTAAATGTCATTAGGTCTGCAGGGTCACACTTGCCCAAGTATATATGTTATGAACCCAAGAAAGAATATGAGAAATTGATAGAAACCAATAAAGAAACTGAACAATTTTATTTAATTTTAATGACTGATAATAGGAGAAAGAATTCCCCACCTGGGGTTTCCTCTTTCTAACAAATCTTCTAAATCTCTCATGAATCCTTCCACCCTTCTTCCCCCCCTATTTATATCCAATTAACCCCTCCAACTATCTAATTAACTTCTCTAACTGTTGCTAACTAATTTTCTTTTTGTCCAAACTCCTAACAATGCCCCCCATCCCCACCTTGTCATCAAGGTTGAAATTCTTAAATTCAATCCTAGTTTTTCCTATTCCCTTAAAAAGCACCATAGCATAAAGGTGGGCCTGTTTTGAAATGTGATGTGGATGGCAAGTGCCTCCATGCATGAGGACCAAATAAAGATCTTGTCCTATTCTCCAATGGCTATTTATTTGCCCATTTGGACTTGCTGCATTAGTTCAAAAGCTGACCCCAGTTGGTAGATTGGCAGTGACCACAGTTCAAAAGCTGACTGATAGTAGGAGAAGGAATTCCCTTCCAAGGGTTTCTCCTTTCTTACAAATCTTCTAATATCTAAAATTCTAAATGAATCCTTCCACTTTTCCCCCCCTGTTTATATCTATTTAACTAACGTCACTCACTATTGCTAAGTGCTAACTAATTTTCCCTTCCTTCTCTCCTAACTCCTAACACCATCAAAATCAGTTTTGGCTGGTCTCTACATAATAGTGCAAGTCAATTTGATTTTTTTTGGCATAATCTTGAACTTAACTTCCTCAAAGCAACCCAAGCAAAGATAACCCATTATCTTGCTGTTTTAGAAGTTAACTGCTGTGGCTACTAAGAGTAATTGAATTTTCCTGGATCAACCCACCTTACTCTACCTCCAACCTACTCAAAAACAGGGCAAGGCAAGTTGACCTGCTTTTGAAAGAGAATTTAAAAAGCCAACTCTCACTATTTTATGAGGGTTGACAGATTAACCACCTAAATAATAATAATAATAATAAAAGTGAATTGGAAAGAATAAAAAATATTTTTTAAAAAAGTGATTGAAAATATTGATAAGAGTATGAATGTTAGTAAAATAAGAATTGGGCTAAGAGTGTTTGAAAACTAAGAACTAGGAAATATAAAATAACCCAACCTGCTGCAAAATGGCAGGTTAAGATCTACATTGCCATCTCTAAATAATATGATAGATATTCACCCACTACTTGGGTGCAGAGTAAAAAGAAAGGCATAGCTTGGAATTAATGACTCAGTTTGTGAGGGGGCTCGAACTTTAACTACCTGTCTACATGGGAGTAGGGTTATGAGGAAAAAGAATGAATTAGTTAGGAGGCAGCCCGACAACTTATTCAGGACTGATAACTGTTCCCACAAACCAACACAAGACTTTTCAGCATGCTTTATCCTTACTCATACATTTCCTGGAAACTTCTTAGAAGGTCACCCATCCCATAATTTCCCAAAGTTAAGTAGAAGGGAAACGAAAGAATAAAGAGGGTGAAGGAGGAAGAGAGAGAGAGACAGCAAGGAACCTGCATTACCTTCTTCTTCTGTGACTGTTATTTCGATTCAAGTTCCCTGTAACTTGGGTTTGATTCTTAGTTTCTATAATTTGAAGAGCTTGTTATCATAAATATGTAATTGAAGACCAGTTTAGTCCTTTAACATTTGGCCATTCATGATAAACAATAACCAAACTTTACTACATAATAGATCATTGACTTTAAAATAACGCAATGAGGAAAGGGAAAAGTAAAATGAACACATATTGACATCACATAAAGAAAGATAAATGTGCTCACTGGACTACTCATTCCAATGTGTGATTCGTATATTCTAAGTGATTTTGGTCTCTTCGGCTGAGGATGTTCAAAGACATATTTCTCCTGTAAAAAGAGATAAATAAAAACATTTAACACAGTAGTGCATGACAGAAAATTCAAACATGTAAGTAACCATCAGATGTTATATTGAATTTTACCCAAGGTTTGTACAGATGACTGGAAATTATTATTATGATATCAACAAATAATTTTTTTTGTTTGATGCACTAATATTTTAACAAAACTTCCTCTATAATCTGCATTCTGCCAGTTATGAAACCTAGTTAAATATTGCAGGATTGTCTAGCTTTATTTTTTGTTAAAATTTGAAGGAGATAAACTGCATATATCTTTTACTATCTTTTTGGGAATCGGATGGGAGGATAAATTGTCTTAACATAAGAAAAATGCCAGTGTTCCAGTGGGTTAAAAATACTATAAAGCTGTCAACATCATTGCATATCAATAATATAGGTTCTCTTGAAACCTCCATGAGTAGACCACAAAGAGAGGCCATCGATAAAATTCTATCCTATAACAAACGTGAAGGGAGAGGGACATTTAGATTTGTAATCTCTTTTTCTAAGTGTAATCTAAATTGAAGATATCTAGAATCTTACCTCTTCGGGTGGGTCATAGTATATTCCGTTGTATGGAATTTCACCAGGAGCCTGTACAGCGAACTTGATCCAAGCAGGAATTGAGTCCTTGATTCCAGAGAGAGTGTCCATGCGAATCTACAAGTATATTTTTAAAAGATATTTAGTTAACACTTCACAGAGAATACCCACGGGCTTAGTTCAGGACATCTAGAAAGGCACAGGAAGGAAAAGTTACACAAGATTTAAAGCATCATCTTTTATGAATTTCTATAATTGGGCTTCCCTCCAGGTTAGAGGAGTATCTATGTATAATTCCTAAAGGTATAAGTTTATTTAATTGTACAAAAAAGAATTTTATGAATAAGAAATACTGTAATATAGAAAAAAAAAAAATTCCTACTCAAAAACCCCTCCAATCTCGGTGCACATCAACAAGATAAATACCTTAATGCTTTGTTTGGAATATGAGAAATTGATGTGGAAGACATAGCCAAGAAAGAAATCACAAATTTACATGTCTTTCGCTTGGCTTGGCTTGGCTTGGAATGGCATGAAATTGGAAGAGAAATAGTATATGGGATAATAGGGAGAGAGGATAATTGATTAAGTCACAAATTTTCTTGTCTAAAGTGACGATAATTGGGAGAGAGGATGGAATAAATTGCTTTTCCCTTTTTACCCCTATTTCATACAATAAATTTTTACTTTTACCTAAGGACTTAAATGTATAAAAAATATCACTTTTATTTTTCTTCACTTTCTTTCACACCAAACTACTGAAAAATTTACTCATATTCCCATCAACTTCTTTCCATTCATATTCTTTCTTACTATTTTTTTACACAAACCAAAGTGTAAATCTTCTGCAATGAAGTTTCTTATTTATCAAAACACAAATCCCCAAAAAAGATCGTCACAGAAGAAAAATCATGGAACATACAGGTGAATGGTTTCAGATGACAATCAAACTCTTCAATAATATTCTCTACTAATGTCTTCATACAACTTACTGTGTATATTCATCCATATAGGATATTATCAATCTTGAAACACACTCAATATATCACTCCATTGTATATGAGCAGTTCAATGTTTCACAAACACTAGCAATGCATAGAATAGCAGAAAATATCTGCAAGGTTGGCAATTATAGAGGGCAATTTTTCAGATATCCTTTGTTACTTGCTTGTGATGAAAACAGAGCATTATTCTTTATACGTGCAAGGGAATTTGTCTTCTTGTAATTCTTCATAAAAAGTAAAAAATAACAGGAAAATGTATGAGCAGTGATTATGTGGAACCATAACATACTATTGGCAAGATCTTCATTATTTGTAATATAAGATTTATTACCAATACAAATGCTCAAAGATGCCAACCAAAAATGAAACACAAGACAGTTATTTGACGAAAGAATAAAAATAAAGGCAATAATCAATGATTGCATGAACATTATCAAAGCGCATCAACGTAATATTTAGTTCAAAAGAATTACCTTGACCCGAGAACCATGAGGAATTGGTGGTGAACCATCCACATTGTTTGGCAAGAAGATCTCCCACACACCAAATTCATTCTGTTAAGACAAGTGACAACTAAAACATTCAAAGACTGCCAATAGCATTACATGTGTCAATTAAATTCAAGTAAGGATATCCACTGTCCAGGACCAGAATCATGTAAAATTTGGAACAATTACATTCACATTCATCAGTACAGGGAATTTCCAATTAAAATGAGAAACTCCATCACTTTAGCGTTATCATTTTTGTGTGGCAACCTGTTGTTACCAAATTCGTTTGATTCCTCTAAGAACTGCATATTGGTTTACGCATGTCAAATTGTAATTTGTTTGCATATTGAGTTGCTCACATTTGCAATTTAATACACAGAAAATGACCACTAGTGCTGAAGCAGAGGTAGAGGATGCAAGGTGATGGAGATATCATTGAGATGGGTAATGGGATGGGAGGACCTTGAAACTCTGCATTGAACACCAAATCAATCTAATATGGTATTAGTAAGAGCCCCATTTCTCTCTTTTCCTCCTGCTCAACAGCAAAAAGAGACCTAATATCCCTCATCTATCATTTTGCTCTTTTCCTCATTACAACTGTGCAAGACTAGACCTTTGAAGTATCACCCAAGATGTTGCTTATTTAAGCATGAGATATAATGAGCCTTGAACCACTTTTTTCCTTCACAATCCATTTTTCTTTTAAAATATTTTTAATCCTCCAAGACATAGTAGTCAATCCTAGAGCGGCTGACCCCAAAAAACACTATAGCAAGATAGTGTATGTCAGGATGACTGCCATTCTAAAGAGAATCAAAATAGAGAATGAAAATAGAACAAAGAGTGGTCAGTCACTATAAAAAGCTTTAATGTAGATGGTCTTGTCAAAAAACGTCTCACTATTATCAAAAAATGTCTACATCTTATTGAAAATAGCTTGTGTTTCGCCAAAGATGAAGAAGACAACTAGAAAATGTCTTTAGTCACATCAGAAATAAGGGTTTTGAAGAAGATAGGGACTTGGCCATAAATGGTGACTCATACTAGAAAGTGTTGGCAATTAAAATAAATTGCCTAGTTGAAATATCGTTGCTGTGACAAAGATGAATACTCAAGGAATAATTTTTCTATTAGAAAATCAATACACTCAATAGAACTTTGGCTTTGCTAATAACCAATTACACAATCAAACAACTACAAGAAAACTCGCTAGAGTTTCTCTCAAACACAAATCTCTCACAATAAAAGCTAAGTAATGAACTATTTGATAACTAATCTTCATATTCCATATCATCCCATATTTAGAGTTTGAAGGAGGCCATATTGTTTAATAATTAAGCAAACAACTTCAAATTGAATTTGTCTTCCTTTATGATGTTGAAGAGTTCAATTTGGACTTGTCTTCTTTTATGATGAAGAAGAGTTCAACTTGGATTTGTCTTCTTTTATGATGAAGAAGAGTTCAATTTAGATTTGTCTTCTTAATGATGGAGAGTTTAATTTGGATTTGACTTCAAGTTTAATTTCTAACAGAAAGTGATGCCGCATATGGAGGACGAAGCAAGAGAACGAGTACCACAGATGGAGGTAGGTTTGATCCTGACTTGTGAAGACATAAGACAAACATAGAGCATCTTGATGTAAAAGATGGGAAAAATACCAAGATTGTCCCCTTTAAAAAGAATTCTAAATTTTAGAAAGGGAGCACAAACTTTCCCTTTCAACCCTGTTTGATATAGGGGCCATGATGACTGCAATTGTCACCTTTCACAGCTGGAAATTGCAATGCGACAGCTGCACAGAACCGCACCACAACAACCCCAAAATGGCAGCATAGAGCCACTCTTCTGAGATCGTGCTAGTTATTGACCACTATGCTGCAAGGTTTGTAACACATTCCTTAAATGTCAAAACTGAATATCCAAGTACCATCAATATGTACTACCCATTACATCAACTTGTTTAAATAGATCTTAAGTTCTGATTAAGGGCTTTTATAGGACAATTTAGTGATTATAAACTTGGTATTAATCAATGTTGTTAAATGTCGGTTATGGCGGCGCTATGGCAGAATGGCGTGGCGGAAATGACTGAGCCCGTTACGAAGATGGCGTGGTGTGGCGGAATGATATGTTCGTGCCATGGCGGCCGTTACGAGCATAGCAGTAATGGCTGGCCATGGCGGAAATGGTGTTTTTTTTTTTTGAAAATAAGGTTTCTCTGCACTTTTGGGCCAAACCTGACTCGACCCAACTCAGAACCCAACCCTAAATCCAAGTTTTTCCCTTTCTTCTCCTTACAATCTCACTCTCCCTCTCTTTGCGATCTTACTCTCCTCTCTGCTCATCTCTTTTCTCTTTGCCCTCCATCAAGATTTCACTCTCTCTCTCTCTCTGCAACATCTCTCTCTGCTTTCTTTGAGAGATCTCTTTGCTGAGATCTCCTTTTGTCTTGGGCTCCTTGGATTTTTGTTTTGGTGCATTTCGGTCTCCATTTCCGGCGACTGCACCATTTCTGGCGACTCCAACCTCCATTTTCGGTGACTGCACCTCCTTCTCCGGTGACTCCATTTTTTCTGGTAGCTATTTTTTTTATTTTTTCTTTCAATTTTTTCTTTATTTCCCTCATTTAAGTTTTACCCTTTCCATCTTTCAATTTCTACCTCTCTCACATCTCTATTTTTTTCTCTGATTTTCCTAAAAAAAAAAAAATTCTATTTATTTCAGTTACTCTTAACATGGCTCAACACGAGTCTTCATCAAATTGTTCAAGAACTTCTAATCATTCTGACCCGGGATGGAAATATGCTCATTCGTTGAAAGATGGAGATACAAACAACATTGTATGTAACTTTTGTGAAAAAGTTATGAATGCTGGAATCACTAGAGTGAAACAACATTTAATTGGAAAGAAGGGTAACGTGAAAGCTTGTCCCAAGTGTCCAGAAGAAGTGCGAAAAGAGATTGAGACGTATCAAAAGGAAAAAAAGACTTTTGAGATGCCAAATGTGAGAAGCTTTGAAGATATAAGCTATAATGTAAGTGAGGATGAAGAAGATACCCAAACTCGTAGCGTTGCCATTGGAAATCAGAAAGGGCCAATGGACTTGTTTTGTAGAAAGCCAAAAAGTGCCATTAAGAAAAAAAAAAGAAAAAATTGAGACAAACAAATATAAGAGAAAGATGTGACAAAGAAGCCAAGGCAAGGGTCCATCAATACATAGCTTGATTTTGATATCAAGTTGGCCTTTTCTTTAACCTTGTTAAACTGAAGAGCTTTGAAGAAATACTCACAGCTGTTGGTGCCTTTAGTCCAAATTTACCAGCTCCAAGTTATCATGATATTCGAGTTCTACTTCTTAAGAAAGAGTTAGAATATACTAATTCTTTGATGAAAGATCATAAGGAGTAATGGAGCAAACATGATTGTTCTATCATGTCAGATGCATGGACAAATCGAAAGCAAAGATATTTGATTAATTCTTGGTCAATTCTTCTGCTGGGACTATGTTTATGAGGTCTATTGATGGATCTAATTTTGTGAAGACTAGTGAAAAATTATTTGAGATACTTGATGCTCTTGTGGAGGAGATTGGAGGTGCAAGTGATAACAGATAATGGAAGCAATTATATTTTAGCTAGTAAGATATTAGGAAGCAAAAAGACATCTTTATTGGACTCCCTGTGCAGCTTATTGCATAAATCTTATGCTTGAAGATATTGGAAAGCTTTCCTTGATAAAGAAGACAATTCAACAGGGAATATCTGTTGTTAACTTTATCTACAGTCATTCAAGTAGCTTAAGTTTGTTGAAAAATTTTACAAACAAAAAGGAATTGGTGAGACATGCAGTAACTAGATTTGCAACTTCTTTTTTATCATTAGAAAGGTTTCATCAAGAAAAAGCAAATCATAGAAAGATATTTATTTCTGAGGAGTGGTGTAAAAACAAATTGTCAAAGGAAGTTAAAAGGAAGTAAACAACCAAAATTCTATTAAATCTGTATTTTGGAATAATGTGGTATATACTTTAAAAATCATGGCTCCTCTTGTTCGGGTGTTACATTTAGTTGATGGGAAAAAAAGACCAGCCATGGGATATATTTACGAAGCAATGGAGAAAGGTAAAGAAGCTATTATGAAGTCATTCAAAAATAATGAAAACAAATACAAAGATGTGTTTGAAATCATTGATAATAGATGGACTTGTCAGCTTCATCGTTCATTATATGCAGCTGGTCACATTTTAAACCCGGAGGTCTTTTATAATAATCCTCAAATAGAATTTGATTTGAAAGTTACAAATGGATTGTATGATTGTATCAAGAGGTTAGTGCCAAGTCGAGATGTGCAATAAAGCATACTACTTGAATTACCAATTTATAAGAGTGGTGGCGGTCTCTTTGGGTCCGACTTTGCAAAATCACAAAGAAAAAATATTGCTCCTGGTAATTCATCAAAGTCTTCAATATTTTAATTTTAAGGTTATAATTCATCTTTAGAGTTATAATTTATCTTTCAGTTTATAGCTCCATGGTGGAGAATGTATGGACATTCAGCTCCACATTTGCAGAAACTAACTATTAAAATTTTGAGCTTGACATTTAGTGTATCCGGATATGAACGCAACTGAAGTGTTTTTGAGCAAGTAATTTCTAATCTCTTAAGCTTACAACTTTTTTTTTAAAATTAGAAAGAAACTAATTAATATTCTTTTAATTAAAATCATATTGCAGATTCATTCAAAGAAGAGGAATAAGCTTGATTACAAAAAATTACATGACTTGGTTTATGTGAAATATAACCAACAACTCAAAGAACGTTATAATCTTAAATATGTAATTGATCTAATTACACTCAATGACATTAATGAGTGTAATGAGTAGTTGGTTGGAGAAATGGATGATGATGTTCATGATGAGGATGCTGGAAATAACTTAGTTTTTTATGGTAATAATACTTTAAATTGGGCAACAGTTTATGAAGCTTTTGAAATTGGAGAGCCTACAACATATATTAGGCATCATTCTAAGAAAAGAAAGAGTCCATCAAGTGGTCATTATCAAAGCTGCAAAAGTTTCTAAAATTAAGGCATGTTCAACAGCAAAAGGAAAAGAGAAAATAATTTTTGAAGATGATGATGAAGAATTAGAAGACAAAGAGATGTTGGAAGAAATAGAAGATGAATTAGAAATTAATCTTCCACAATCTGAGGGAGAAGAGGAGGGATATGCCTTGATAGATGAGAAAGAGGATGATTATGTTGTAGTTGAAGAAGAGGACTAAATTGATAATCTTTATTTTTATTGTTAACTCAAATATTTGATAATTGCATATTTTGTATTGAATTATACTTTGAATTGTAGGTTATGCCACATATATTTTGAGTTAATTATTTTTTATCATTTTTTGTGACCTATAGTATTTTTTTATATATTTTATTATATCTGCCATAACTTGCCATGACGGCTGCCATAACTTTATGGCAGTTTTTTTGGTTTCCGCCATGAGCCGCCATCCGCCATTGATAACATTGGTATTAATTACAACTTTGTTTATTAATAATAATGATAAGATTCCAAGTCAAATAGACAGGAAAAAATAGAATAAAGATGAAATCACAATCTGTTCAGCTTTTAATTTGCATATTGGTGCTCATTAATGAAAAAATTATCTTAAATTTCACATGTATGAACTTTAAAGACCAATTAAGGACAACATACCCGGGTCATAACATCTGCATTTGGATTCCAATTGTTGAAGTCTCCAATTAATGCTGCTGACTGAAAAAGCAATCAATAAGATCCATATGGTTGGCAGAGGAACTGAAAAACAGCTATACCGAGACTGATTAAGTAATTGTATTCAAGTTTAAAGACACCAGATTTTCTCAAAACTTTACTAGAAAACATAGAATGATATAGAATGGGAAAAGGGAAGGAAAGAGATAAAGACCCCTGCTTAGAACATATACTGTGTCCCCTAAGGAAGATTCTAAATTTGATCTTTCCAATCAACTTAAATGAATACAATTACATCTTCAGATAATTTGTGCTTATCGTGATATTGAAAGTTGGCCAGTTACCATAAATACAGTCTGTAACTCACCTAAAGGCATAAATTTAATCACTGTATGAGCATTCAGGCAATTTAGAGAACCCCATTAAAGCCTAAATTAACTAAAGATATATGAGTGGGCTGAAAGTCATTACAGTATCACAGCAGAGAGCTATATTAAAATTTAGAATCCAAGTGACGCTGCTGAGGAAGCAGATGCTCCAAAACACTAGCCATAAACAAGTCAGACACTTTAGATACTTTGAGCTGCAATTTATAATTTTTTTTTATTCATTGAACTTTTGTATTAATATGCATAGGATAAACACAATAACTAGATCAAGTATAGCATTTTATTATGTTTACAGTGATTCATTCCTTTTAAAACATCATTTTTTTTTCTAACTAGATTTTTATTTTTATGCTAATATTATACTAATTTTATATGTTGTATTGTAGCCAAGCTGTGTATTAATATTTAAAAATTTGTCATCCTCAAATCTGTGACATCCACATGCTTTCTAGGACACTACAAAATAGTTTGAACCCAAAAATTAGATACAGTGCTAATACAAAACTACCAACAATTAAGATGATATATACCTTCGCTCCAGGTGCCCACTCTCTGTAGGTAATGCCGGTGGTACTGCAAACAAAAGCTTAAAATCATTGAAGACCACATTGGTCAACACAACATGAAGATATGTGCATAATTTTCTTTTTCCCTTTTTATGTACATTTATTGTTGTACTATTGTCCTTACATTGTTCTCGCATTACTTTAGTGTCAAAAATTGAATGCTAGAAGTGTAGTTCACTGATTCATTCACTTCGTCTCTCCTCATATGGCTGAAATCTCTCAGCTTTGAAGATCTGAAGTGGTTTCTCCACCAACTACTCTCACCACCTTGTTCATCATGCTCAATATGGCTACTTGCTGATAGCTCGCTGCTATCGGATCACAGAGACCACTCCTGTGTTCAGGTTCCTTGTGTGCTTGCAGGGGACCACACCCTGCCTTTTTGCTGGCCACCACTGTTTCTAATCCTCTTCCCTAGTCATCTCTGGTTGGACCTAGCCCCCCCCCCCCCCCCCCTTTTTCCCTGTAGTGTAGTTGTTAGGTTGTTAGAGTCATACAATTTTCAGTTATTATATTAGTTGAATTGTAACTTATTGTCTATTAAGGCTTAACTCTAGTGTCCACTTGCAGGATCTCTTATTGTAGTCAGATCAGGGTTATTTGAGTTGCAGCATTCATCAATTATACAAGGCTTAGTCTCTCAGGGTGTTCAATCTGGTAAGTGTTTATTGATATTGTTTATCCATCAGTACTAGATAAGTTAGATTGATTTAGCCATTTATCATCTTAAGAATGTTTTATCAATAAAGCATGAAACACAGAAGGTTACATGTGTTCGTGCATACGTTTTATATCTCCATGAATCTAGAAACTTTTGCTTGCATTGTACCATTTGGTCTATGTACTGAAATTGATAACATTCGAGATTATGCAGGATTATACACGAAAGATCCTTTTTTGGCTCTCTCTTTAGCCCTATGTCTCTTATCCTTAGGAGATCTTCCTCCACTAGCAGGTTTTTTTGGAAAACTTAATTTATTCTGGTGTGAATGGCAAACAGGCTTATATTTCTTAGTTTCAAATAAAGCTCTAAAAAATAAGGATAACATAATACCTGCGCGTGAAGCCAAAATTTTCATAACCTCGAGAAAATGCATCCAGACCACCTTCATGCTTGTCAATTTCGTAACGCAATCTTTTGTATTGTCCAAAACTGTGATTTAAAACACGCATTTTAAAAAAATCTGGTTTTCATTTTAGTAACCGCATATTAAGTATCAAATATAGTTTGGAAAAACAAAAAGTGACATTGCTAACATAAACAGAAAATTGAATAAATACTTTGTTTCCTGGATTCACAATTAGCAAGGTAAACACATTTAATTATTTTAACATAATTGAGTAATGGCAGTAATTCAAATATTTATACCTCTGGCTTGTAAAAGCAATTCCAAATTTCCAATAAACAAGACACATCGCCCATTTTTTTGGGTAGATAAACAAGACCAAAGCCTGGGCAATGTTGCCCTTTTATTCATCATATTCTTATGGATTCCAAGTTCCCATGGCCAGTTAATTACTATAAACCATTTCTTTGACTGACTATTCTGGTCAGCATCAATCACATAGCTCACACAACAACAACAACAACAACAACAAAAGCAATTAAGATTTAAGAATTATCCCATTAAGTAAAGCAATTAAGATTTAAGAATTATCCCATTAAGTAAAGTCAGCTACATGAATTACTAATGTCATTGAACTCTATCAAATTACATAACTCATTCCATGAATAACAATTAATTTTTTGAAAATATGATTGAAAGGAACATTGTCATTATGTTGTTGACGAGTGGAACTACATAACACAAAGGAAACAATGCAAACACATATTGTAGAAAAAAGACAGTTACCTTATGGTGTCAAATCACTTCTATATGAAACAATAGCACAATGTAATGAGTTGAAATAATCCCATTTAACAAGTCACCTTTAGAAGCAGGAAAGTTAATTGAATGTGTTGTCCCATTCCTACATAATAGCTAGCCACCAACAACACATACAAGCAGCTAATTATCATTCTTTATTCTTTTCATCTAGTAGTATGAAATATGAAATTATCAATTAAATGGCAATGATAGCCCCAAAATAACCTTCCACAGTTAATTGAGCATCCAAGACTTAGTGATTGTTGTTTCCATTTAGAAATTCCAGAACAAGCTTCACCTATGTTGGGGTTAGCTTACCGGAAATCAAGATGCTCACGGTGATTTAGCAAAGATGGATCAATCTCGTATATTCTCTGCCCAGTGCCAGGTGGGGGAATGATCTTAGGTTTAGCTTTATCAGTTTTTATTTTCACTTTCCTGTGAACAGATACTGATGTCTTCTTGGCTTGAGCATTGGTGTTAACATCTGCAAGTGATGAAACAACAGAACCTTGGCCGTCCTCAATCTCTTCAAAGCTGTATTTATCCTCATCTTCCATGGTTAATTCCTCTAAGTTCTGAACAGATTTAGACATACATTCAGCTAAGAACATTCCCATGAAAGCCAATTCTGAGATTAATAATGACAAATAAACAGAAAATGCAAACAAAATAACAAATCAAATGTATTTGCAGCCATGCTACCCATGAAAATAGTAAAATTGATACAGAAAATAGTAAAATAGATACAGAAACCCAGAAGCAGCCACCCTCAATGGCTTAAAAGAAAATTAGACATGATGACTGGCCAAATTATGGTAAATTATTTCAATGATCTCTATAGTACATAATCTTTCTAATGATTAATAATAATACACATACAAATGAATAATCCAAAGAATTGGCTATTTTGCTTGTGATATTTAGAACCCCAGATTTAAATATTTGGTTTGTTTGCCTTTTTAAGGTGCCTCTGAGGGTGTAGTTGTTTGGGATGCCAAACGTGTTTTTTAAATCAATTAAATTCTTAGTAGCATTTTGGTCTTTGTTGTTGGATGTTAGAGGAAGAGGTAGTTGATGGTTTACTCCAATTTATGGGACAAATTCTCCAAATTTGCATTCTTTCTTTTGGAACAAGCATAGTTATATGCTTAGGTTTTGTGGGTCTAATTGGAGCTTGGGGGTGATTTTAATGATACTAGATCTCCTGATAAAAAATTGGAGGTGGTCACATTACTTCTTCTATAAGAGCCTTTGATAACTTTATTCAAGAATATGGTTTGAGAGATTTACTGCTGTCAAATGTATGCTTTACCTGGTCTGTTATTCTACATCATGTGGTCTATTCTCGATAGGATTTCTATTCATTAATAATTGGGAATATGCTTTTCCTTATCTTATGCATAAGACTATACCTAAATCAGTTTCTGAACTTCCATATTGTGATGGAGTCAGGCAAGCTTAAGTGGTCCCGCACCTTTTTGGTTCATAAAAATGTGGATGGATCATCACAAGTTTGAGCCTGTTGTCAAGGAGGTATGGAATTCTGATGTTTTTGAAGGCTAGAAGTTCTCAAATTTATTAAGAAGTTTAAACCCATGCAAAAGTTGAAAAGATGGAATCAAGATGTTCTTGGATCATTAGGACTAGGAAAAGAGTATTTAGCAAGAGATTGATTCCCTGGACAGAATGAGATATAGGGTAACTTATCTAGTTCTCAGTGCAGGAAGAAAAATATTGCAGAATGATCTTGAAGAAATACAGCTTAAAGAGGATGTTTGTTGGATGCAAGAATCAAGATTTCAATGGGTGAGTGACAGTAATGCTAATTCTAAGTTTTTCTATAGAGTTCTCGTTCAGAAAACAAATTTAAGGAATTGGAGTTGGAGGATGGAAGTTTTGCTAGGGATCCTAGGATAAGAGCTTTTGAAATTACTAGTTTTTTCAGGGAGCTATTTGTAGAGGATTGTTCTTTCAGACATTCATGGAAAGAGTGGGTTGGACTTTGGAGTTCAAAAAAGATAAATTGAAGTAGTTGGGAGAACACTAAGCAATATTTTGTTAAAGTGTATAAATTGGTGTCACTGTATGAACTTTACTTTTATTACTTTAGTGCCAAAGGATAGATTGATCAAAGTCAAGGATATTTGCCCAATTAGTTCTTCTCTAGTGTTTATAATATAATCACCAAGTTCCTTTCTTCTAGATAAAGTGAAGTTCTCTCATATACCAATTCTGTGAATCAAAGTGCATTTATTCCAGCCAAGAGGACAGATTTTTGATGCAGCACTTATTGCTAATGAGGTGATCATAGGTTCAAATCTTGAAAGTGCTCTCTCATGGTGGGAGATATTAGAAGTAGAAAGAAGCAGAGAGGGTTTTTCAGAGAATGTTCATATAAAAAAGGATTTAGTTCCAAATGGAAGAGTAGGCTTTCAGACTGTTTATTCTCGGTTTCTTATGCTATTGTAGTGAATGAAAAACAAAAATCTCGGTTTCAAGGTCAGAGGGTTCAAAGGCAAGGAAATCCCTACTCTCGTTCTTTGTTTACTATACTGGTGGATGTTCTTAGATGTTTGATTTCTTGGGCCATTGAAAGAGGACTTTGCTAATGAATCAAAGTGGACTCTGAGGATGTTTTGATTTCCTACCTTCAATTTGCAGATGATACTGTCTTGCATGCTGATTCCTTAATTAATTCATTTTGGCTCTTCGGTTATTTGAAATTATCTTGGGGTTAAAGATTAATCTTTCTAAAAGTGGTTTGGCTGGTTTCAACATGGATGATATCTTAACCACTTTTACCTATCTTCCAGTCAAATTCTCCCAAGGCCACTTACTTATTTAGGACTTCCATTGGGTGGCAATCCCCAGGCCCATTACATTTGGGAGCTTGTCATTAGAAAGATTTCCAAGTGGTTAGACAGCTAGAAGGTATATTATTTTCTTTAGGTAGTTCTATTCTATATCTCTCATTCAGTCATCTCTATCTTGTATTGCACTCAGCTATCTCTTTGTGATGATGTTATGACTCAAAAATAAGTTAAAAACAGAATAACAAACTTGTTGTTAAAGACTGTTAGTTTCCAATTCAGTTAGACTCTTAGTTCCCTTTATAAAGCTAGTTTCTAGTTTTCTTGCAAGAGTGGCATTAAGTGAATTCTTTTGTAATCAGTTCATGATAAACTAGTGAACGCGTTTGATTGCTCTCTCCTGTGGATGTAGGCTACATTGGCTCAACCACATTAAAGATCTTGTGCTTTTCTTCTTCTCTCTATCTCTTCTAAATTTTCTATATTTTCTGTTTTTTGTTATTGTTTCTGATTTGATTTGTAAGGACACAAAACACCTTGTGAGGACATCACTTAACAAGTAGTGCTGTCTGTAGGAAGATTCAAGCTAGAAACTTCAAGAATGGGAACTACCAAGTATGACATAGAAAAATTGTCAGGAGACAATGACTTTGGCTTGTGGAGGATCAAGATGGACGCTATCTTAACAAGGATGTGCACGAGCTATTAAGGGAGAAAAGAATATGTCAAACTCCTTAACTCCAAAGAAAAAACTGATCTGAGTGAGAAGGCAAGAAGTGCTATAATCATATGTCTTGGAGACAAAGCTTTGAGAGAGGTTGCAAAGGAGAAAACCGCTGCAGCAATGTGGGTCAAGCTAGAATCTTTGTACATGACAAAATCCTTGACTCACAGACTTTGTTTGAAGCAGCAGCTGTACTCTTTCAAGATGGATGAAACAAAAGAAATTATTGAACAATTGGCAGAATTTAATAAAATTCTAAATAACTTAGAGAACATTGAAGTGAATCTTGATGATGAAGATAAGGCCTTTTTGCTGCTGAATTCTCTATCCAAGAATTATGAACATTTCAAGGATCCCCTTCTTTTTGGCAAGGAGCAGACCATTACGTTGAAAGAGGTCTAAACCTCTATCAGGACTAAGGAATTGCAGAGGCAACAGGAAATTAAGTTTGACAGTAATGGAAAAGGCTTGAATGGGTCAAGAGGGAGAAATGAGAAGAAAATGCAAGGGCAGAAGGGAAAGAGGTCTAAGTCTGAGTCCAAAAATAGAGAAAAGACTAAATACAAATGCTTCAACTGTCACAAGATAAGTCGTTTCAAGATACACTGTCTTGAAAAAGGCAACAACAATGCAAGACTCTCTACTAATGTAGCAGACTTAGCAACTGTTGCAGATGGGTATGAAATTGCAGAGGTTCTGGTTGTGTCTACATCACAGACCTCAAAAGATTGGGTCGTAAACTCAGGCTGCTCCTTTCATATGTGTCCAAAGAAGGATTATTTTGAAACCTTCGAGCTGAAAGAAGAAGTAATAGTCTTGTTGGGGGATAATCATCACTGCAAAGTGCAAGGACTAGGAATCATCGGATTGAAGATGTTTGATAATAAGAAATATCTCCTAAAGGATGTGAGGTATGTGCCTGAACTGAAAAGAAATATTTTCCTTAAACATGTTTGATGTTTTAGGATACTCAACTAAAATTCAGCATGGTATTCTTAAGATTTCAAATGGATCTTTAATCATTGCTAAAGGTAACAAGAATAAAAGTAATGGCTTATTTATCTTGGATGGTTCTACTGTTATTGCACATGTTGATGTGGTTAGTAATTGTTTAGTTGATAAAGCAAAATTGTGGCATCTTAAACTTGGGCATGTTAGTAAAAAAAGATTAATTGAATTGGAAAAATAGAATCTACTTAAGGGTGAAAAATTGAATAAGTTGAATTTCTGCAAAAATTGTGTGCTAGAAAAATCTCATAGAATTAAATTTGGGTTTGGCATGCATGTTTCAAGTAGAACTTTTGAGTATGTGCATTCTGATTTGTGGGGACCTTCAAGGGTTAAAACTCTAAGTGGAGGCTCCTATTTCCTTACCATAATTGATGACTTTATTAGGAAAGTTTGGTTGTATGTGTTAAAGGATAAAACTAAAACTTTTAAAAGGTTTAAGGAATGACACACTTTGATTTAAAACTAAACAGGACATAAACTTAAGGTTTTGAGAACTGACAATGACTTAAAGTTTCTTTCAAAACAGTTTGCTGAGTTTTGCAGGAATCGAGGTATTAAAAGGCATAAAACAGTACTTAATACACTTCAACAAAATGGTCTGATTGAGAGGATGAACAAAATTATTTTGGAAAGAGTAAGATGCATACTTCTTAGAGTAGGAATGCCAAAGAGTTTTTGGAGAGAAGTTGCCACTATTGCAGTATACTTGATAAATATGTGTCCTTCATCAGCTTTAAATTTTAAAACTCCTATGGAAGCATGGAATGGGCAACCAGCAAACTACTCAAGTCTAAGAGTATTTGGATCACTTGCTTATGTTCATATGAAGGAATGAAAACTGGAACTAAGAACTGTCAAGTGTGTTTTTCTTGAATATCGTGAAGGTATAAAAAGTTACAAGTTGTGGAGACTTGAAGTAAGAGGAGGAAGGTGCATTATAAGCAGAGTCAACCTTTGATGAAACTAAAATGGGTATGTTGATGGAGGAACAGCAGGAAAGTACTTCAAACAGGAGGCATACTCAGTTTGAGGTGGAGTCTCTTATTCAAGTTTCAGACCCAAAAGGAAATTTTTTTGAAGTTACAAACCCAGAAACAGAACCAGTAAAAACATCTAGTTCTGATGCATGTGTAGCTACAAACTTGCATAATGATTCTGATTGATAGCTGGTCAGAGACAGAATTAAGAAGAATCATAAGCTACCAAACAGATTTGGGTATGCAGATATGATTTGTTATGCTTTTAGTGTAACAAAAGAAATTCAAAATTTGGAACCAAGAACCTTTAAGAAAGCCATGAAAAGTTGTGAATCACAAAAATGGATGAAGACCATACATGAAGAAATGGAATCTCTTATGAAGAACCAGACCTGGAAACTCGTAGATTTTTCCAAAAGACAAGAGAGTTGTGGGTTATAAGTGGATCTTCAGGATAAAAGAAGGCACACCAGGAGTGGAGTCACCAAGATTCAAAGCAAGGCTTGTAGCAAGGGGTTTTACTCAAGTATTACAATGAAATTTCTTCACCTGCTGTGAAACACTGTTCTATAGGAATTTTACTGAGTTTGGTGAATCAGTTGGACCTGGAATTGGAACAAATAGATGTGAAAACAACATTTTTACATGAAGAATTGGAGGAAACTATCTTTATGTAGCAGCCAGAAGGTTTTCCAACAAAACATAATAAAGTTTGTTTGTTAAAGAAGTCTCTATATGGTCTAAAACAGAGTTAAAGGATGTGGAACAAGAAGTTTGATGCTTTTCTTGTAAAGTCTGGCTTCAACATAAGAGAAATGAGGAGTGTGTGCTGTATTTACTGCTATATGTGGATGATATATTGCTAGCCAATCCTAGCATAGAGAAGATAAAGGCTTTCAAGGACAGACTTAGTTCTATGTTTGAAATGAAGGACCACCAGCTAGAAGGATCTTAGGCATGGACATTGTAAGGAACAGGACTGATGGAGAACTGTTTTTATCTCAGCAAAATTACCTAAGGAAAGTGGTTGAAAGATTTAGAATACATCAATCTAAGTCTGTCCATGCACCTTTGGGTTCTCTTATTAAACTTTTAGTTTCTTAGGCTCCTAAAACTGAAGAAGAAAGGAAAGAGATGAAGTTCATCCCTTATGCAAGTGGTGTTGGCAGTATCATGTATGGAATGATGTGCAGTAGACCAAACTTAGCTTATGCTATTAGTCTTATAAGCAGATTTATGGCAAATTCTAGTACAGCTCATTGGAATACTCTTAAGTAGGTGCTTAAATATCTTAATGATACATTGGATTGTGGTTTGAGATTCAAGAGGAGTCTGGCTAGAAGTGATGCTATAACAGGGTACGTGGATGCAGATTTTGCAGACTGTATTGATACCAGAAAGTCTATTTCTAGTTATGTTATTACTTTGTTTGGAACAGCAGACACTTGGAAAGCAAATTTGCAATCAGTGGTAGCTTTATCAACTACTAAGGCTGAATATATTGCTCTTACAGAAGGAGTAAAGGAAGGATTATGGTTAAGGAGTTTGATTGATGATCTAGGCATAAGTCAAGCTAAGATTAATATCTTTTGTGATAGCCAAAGTGCTATTCGTTTGGCAAACCATCAAACTTACCATGAAAAGACTAAACATATTGATGTGAAGTTTCTTTTCATTAGAGAAGTGATTGATTCAAAGGAGATTCAAGTGCTGAAAATTGTGACTAAGGAAAATTCTGTAGATATGTTGACAAAGCCCCTTCCTAGAGTGAAGTTCAAGCATTCCTTGGATTTAATTAATTTCACAAAATGATTGAAGATAAGTGGGAGAGCAACTCAAGGAAACAAGTTATGTCTAGTGTTTTAGAGTCAAGGTGGAGATTTGTGATGATGTTATGACTCAAAAACAAGTCAAAAACAGAATAATAAACTTGCCGTTAGAAATGTTAGTTTCCAATTCAGTTAGACTTTTAGTTCCCTTTATAAAGCTTGTTTCTAGTCTTATTACAAGAGAGACATTAGGTGAATTCTTTTGTAATCAGTTCATGATAAACAAGTTTGGTTGCCTGTCTTGTAGATGTAGGCCACATTGGCTGAACCACATTAAAGATCTAGTGCTTTTCTTCTTCTCCCTCTCTCTTTTAAGTTTTCTGCATTTTCTGTTTTCTGTCATTGTTTTTGATTTGATTTGTGAGGACATGAAACACCTTGTGAGGACATGACTCAACACTCTCTCTTTATCACATTATAGTAGCTGTTGCTCAGAGTATTCAGAAATTTATGGGATATTTCTTTGATAAATGACTAATGGGATGACCAGAGATTATCTTGTCCGTAGGAAGAATTGTTTTAAACCTGACAAAAAAAGGAGTTTTGAGTCGTGGAAATTTAGAGATGTTTAATTTCCCTTTTAAAAACAGTTTTCTGATTTTAAAAAGTAAAATATAGTACAAATTTGTACTGTGTTTTATTTTAAAAACAGAAAACTATTTTTAAAAGAAAAATCAAACATCCTCTAGTCTCCTAAAACATTGATTTGACTACTATTTGGCTTTGACTTTTTCCTCTAAAGATTACTTCTTTATGGCATCAACTTATCTGAAGTAAGTATAGTTTGCATTTTAAAAGGTGGGATGCCAATTCAGGAGTTAAAGTTACACATCCTAGCCCTTGGAAATTCATATCTCAAGGTAATGCTTCTTTTACATCTTTATGTCTTTGGGTTTGGACGATTGCTCCAGTTTTAAATTTCAGGAGGACCTTTGGGTGGGTTATATTCCACTTTATGATGCTTTTCCAAGACTCTTTCATCTCTCTATTTTGCACAAAGTTCCTGTAATACAGTTTTACTCTTCACCTCTTTCAAGTTTTTCCTGAAATTTCCAGTCCCCAATGATGCTGTTAGATTCAATCCATCTCTCTTATAATCTACATAAGTTCATTTGGAGAATAGTCTCACACACTTGAGTTTATTTTCCAGTAAAATCCAGTTTTAATTTTGTCACTTCATCTCCTAGTTTTGATTCTTTCCTTTTATGTAGGTCCATTTGGAAATAAATTGCTCCCTCTAAAGATCGAATCCTATGTATGGACTCCAGTTCTAAACAAGATTAATACCAACAATTTACTAAAAATTTCAAGATTTCTAACTGTTTTGTTTCCTGATTATTGTGAAATGTGGAGATTGAATTCTGAGACTAGCTATCATTTGTTTTTGCATTACTCAGCAGTTTCCCTTCTCTGGTACAACCTGTTGGTGTCTTTGGTGAATATTGGGTTTGCCCCAAGGATCTACAGCAGTTCTTGTGTGTTACTTTTTTAATACATAGCAATCAAGTTTCCAGATCTTTTCCCCTCCATCCTCCAGATTCTTTCTTGCCCGTTGTTACAGTCAGCTAATGCACACTATGCTAAAAACTCACTTAGGCTGCATCAATATTGCAATAAAAATGCAACAAAGTTTCATACATTCTCCAGATGCATTTGGCAAGAAAACCACAATTCCAGTATGAAGAAAGGTGTGTGACAACAAGAATGCAAAATTAATTATATAAACATATTCCATATGGAGGAGGAGAAAAAAACCTGTTCATCCTCTGAGGTTATATCAGGAGTTTCAAGTTGCTCTGTCAAGGATGCAGAGTTATCTTGATCCTGAGGAATAAGTACCTTATCAGATTCAGCAATCATGGAAGAAGTGGAATCAGAATCATGGGAAAATTTTACAGCAAGGGTTTTCCCTGAAAGAAGCCATAAATTATATCAGTGAAGTGTTTTAAAGCTTATCACATAGAATTACTAGTGCCACACACAAACTAGATTGAACTTTCATCCAAAATAAAAGATATATCACATTCTTTTATTTTTCTATTTCATTGTTATCATGTTGATGTATTAGTAATTTAAACTTATCAATCAATAAATATTGATAGCCAATTACACGAGTAAGATGATGCCAATTGCCAATTTTACATTGTTATAATGGTTAGTTCAAATATTACCATTCGGATTGCAGACCATTTCCCTTTCATCATCATACAATTATTATAAAATTAAATAATGCATATAAACGAATACATCATACGGTGACCCAAAAAAAAGAAAAGAAATTCAGACATTAATGCATGATCCAACTCTAATGGATATAATTATGAGAATGACCCCACTCGGAATGTCACAGGGTAGCAAACGTTGTGCACCCTAGGGCTCTGATTGATAGTGACGGTGTTTTTATATTCTTTATCTCCTCTGCATGACTAATGAGTTCCAAAAAAGCAGAATAAATCTTATAATTCGCCAATCAGAGTCACACACAGTGACCATAAAATAACAATAACCAGAGCTACGCCATAGTCGTTAACCTCAAAATGCCCTGAAATTGAACGTATAATCGAAGTCCGGTCTACGGAAGTGAACAGTATCACCGGAATCTAATTTTCAACTTCACTAAGTTACCATTGGCTTCAAACACGGAATGAAAACCAACTCAACAAGCTTCCGCCGATGCATGGTTTAACGATTAAGAAAGTAAAAAACAATTATTATAATAAAATAACAACAACCAAGCAAGTCGAGAAATAGCAAACACTATTAAAACAAACGTAACGGAACTGTAAAATTAAAAAATGAATAATGAGAAATGTTTATTACGGGAGGAAGAGTTGTTCCGGAGGAAAAGAGGAAGCGATGCAGTCCTGCGATCACAACGGAAGCTGGACTTGTACAGCGAGGGAACAACAGGAAATCGAATTCCAGAGATGGTGTAAACCATCTTCGTCTGCGCTTAGGGTTTTGTCTGAGAGAGACTGAGATTCAGGAAGAAGGAGAAGGAGAACAGATCCGGAGTTATGAGAGAGTGTTCAAAGTGGCGAGAGAAGTGTGACACTGGCGATCATGATATAAATGAGTGGTATCATTTTCTCGAAGCAATAAACGAATTTAATTAAATAACAAAGAAGAGAAAATGTACGGTTAAGGGTCGAGCTATCTGGCTGGAGGTGACAACGAGAGTGCAGGTGATGCTGCTACGTGTGTTCAGACTCCCGAATACCATGCTCTGAGTGATTACGGGCCCCACTGCCCTTCTCTCTTCTTTAATTCTGATCGTTCATTGTTTCCCCAATCAAAAAACTATGGCCCCTTTGGATACGAAATGTCTGGCTATGGACACAACTCCTCATTTTTTCCTCTGTTCCGCTTTTGTCTGTTGCCTTGTGTCGTGTGTAACGTAAGGAAAAAGAACCGGGGAAAGGTAATTAAAAGATCTTTTGCGTTTTCACGACTATATATGCCTTGCCTCCTCTTTATCAAAATTCTTCACTGCCTCATTTAAATATTATTCGATATATACATATCATTTTTTGGGTACTTACTTCTTAATATATTATAAGGAATGATCTTATCTAAGTTGTCAAAATATAATAATATATGTGACTCAACTAATTATTGACATTCCAACAAAGGAAAAGGACAAGATATGCTTATTCTAAAAAATAATAATGATTTCTTGCTTCGACATCCCCTTCCTATCACAGATGTTGAAAGGAAAAAAAAATATCTCTAATATTCCCATGTTGGTATGATACTGACCGTTTGTAATTAAGCTTGAGGTCAGAATTATTGAGTGCTTGGTTGTTGTAAAATGTTAAACATAAAATCAAAATGTTTTTATTTTAAGTTATAAAGTTTTATCACAACGTATATACGGGGTAACTTAATTTTAAAGGTTAGAACTTTAGAAGCAAACTTTGAATCTATTTGTATGATATGAAAAGTTCTTTTACTAAAGTTGTTGAATTATTTTTGTTATCTAACTTTTTTAATTTCTATCTCTTTTAGTTTTCTTACATTTTCATATTTTTTAACCTTTTAAACTTTAAATCTAACTTTTTTAACAGTACTTTCTAATTTTCTCTAAAATATATAAGAACGGAGTGTCAAGTTTTAATAGATTAAAAATATATTTTATTATATACATTTTAATCTCAAACAAATAAAAAAATAAACATAAATAAAATTTTGTTAAAGTATTGTTCCTTTATTTGTTTACAAATTTTATTATTTTTATCTTATTCTCATAAATTTCAATAAAAAGTTGAAAATTATGTAATTTAATTAATTTTTGTAAGTCTAATTGGTAACACATTTCAATTTGCTCTTCAAATGTTTCGAATATAGTCAAAGCAAATTGTGATGCATCCCTAAACTATGCAGGTTGACGTCATTTATAGAGACATTATGAAAGTATATTGATTGCTAGTACAAAATATGTGGGCCCAATTGCAGATGGACTTACTTTTCGTATATATACTATGTTTATGGCTATTGATTTGTGCTTTTAAATTTTATTTTTGAGATTTTTCTCCGGATATAAAAATTAAGAGCAAAGGAATTTACTTAGAGCATGTTTAGTATAGTTTTTCAACAGCTTTTTCAAAAGATTATTAGTGCTAATTAAATTATGTTTAAATAAAAAAATTAAAAATTACAGATTATTATTTTCTATAGAATAGAACTGTAAAATTAAGCATTTTTTTTTTAAACTGTTGGAACAAAATAAATTTTTTTAATAATTATTTTTCAGCAAATATACTCAATAGATTCTATACATAATTAATTCTACACACAATTAATTTTTCAAATAATTTCATACTCCTTACCCTCTGCCTATAGACCCAATCCTAGGACTTCGACCCGTGATTCAAAGGGTAAAGGCAAGATGAGTATCTCCTATTCAGAAACTATCAAAACCAAAAAGCTTAGATTCCTCTGAAGAAGAAGAAAGAAAAAAGAGGAAAAAGCAAAGGAACCAGATGTTTTATCTGCGGGAAAAAAGGACACTTTGCTAAGAAATGTCCAAACAAGGAGGCCAAAGCCCAAAACTTAGTTAATTCTTTGGATCCTATTGAAGGAGATATTGAATCTGAATACTCTGAACAAGGAGAAGCAGATCAAGATACTGTCTTTGCTATCCAAGAATCGTCTGATGATTCTTCAGAATCTTCAAGCAAAGAAGAAGAATATATTCCTCTTTATTTTACTCAAGAAGTAAATAGTGTTCTTCAAACTCCATCACAACCTTGTGTGGAGGTCCAAGTTCTCATTAACAAATATGCTACTCCAATCAAGGCCATAGCCTACATGGACACTGGAGCTCAAAAAACTATGATGAATCCAGAGGTTCTTCCAAAAGAATGCTGGACCCAATACACTACCAGTTTTGTAGCAGCTGATGGGAAGATTTTCAACACTCATTTAATTTCCAAAATGCCTATTGGAATCAATTTATTTCCAGATTGCATCATTTGGATCAAACCCATAGGTACTCATCTGCCTAATAAAGATATTCTGCTTGGCATGGATGCTTATTGCTTAACTGACAAGCTTCAGATACTTCCAAGAGGAATTAAGTTTAAAAGAAATTTCAAGCCTTATACAGATGTCTTGAAACTTTATTCTCTGGAAGAAAGCCCAATAGAATATTTTGAACTTAAAGAAAAGTTGAAGACCTTATGTGCAGATGGACATGAGAATTTTTCTCATCCCAATCCGATTTGGAACAACCCAGAGTTTTTTTATAAAACTCCCTTTCAAGCTCAATGAAGATATCAATCCTACCAAAGCCACACATCCTGGAATGAGTCCAAGTGATCTCCAGATGGCTCGACAAGAATGTGCTGAACTTCTTCGACAAGGACTGATCGAACCAACCAAATCTGAATGGGCATGCCAGACATTTTATGTAGAGAAAAGATCTGAAAGAATCAGAGGAAAGAAGAGGTTAGTAATTGATTATAAACCTCTCAATCATTTTCTTAAAGATGACAAGTTTCCCATCCCAAAAACCTCCTCTTTACACACTCTTATCAAAGATGCCATGATCTTTTCAAAGTTTGATTTAAAGTTAGGATTTTGGCAATTTGGTGTTGATCCCTCTGATCGATACAAAACTGCTTTCTGTATCCCAAATGCTCAATACCAATGGAAAGTTCTTCCATTTGGCCTAAAAGTAGCACCTTCTCTTTTCCAGAAAGCCATGACCAGAATTTTTGAACCAATCCTTGATAGTATACTCATCTACATAGATGATGTATTACTTTTCTCAAAAGACACAAAATCTCATAAAACCCTCTTAAGCAAATTCTTTGATCTCTCCAACAAATATGGGATTATGTTGTCGGAAAAAAAGATTCAATTAGCACAAACTCAGATAGACTTTCTGGGAATGCATTTTTTTCAGGGAAATTATCAACCTCAACTGCACATTGCAGAAGAACTCTTGAATTTTTCTGATGAAAATTTCACTGTCAAACAAATTCAACAATTCCTTGGAGTATTAAATTACATTAGGGACTTTATTCCTAATGCTGCCAAATATACAAGTCTTCTGTCAAGACTGCTAAGGAAAAACTCTCCTCCATGGAGCAATGAACAGACTGAAGCTGTTCGTCATATGAAAAAAATAGCTCAGAATCCTCCACCATTAAAGATCCCTGGAGATGGGAAAAGAATTCTACAGACAGATGCTAGTGATCATTATTGGGGAGCTATTTTACTTGAAGAAAATAATGGGAAAAAGGCTTATTGTGGACATGCCAGTGGACAATTTAAGGAATCTGAAAAGCATTATCATACAACATATAAAGAAGCCCTTGCAGTAAAGAATGGTATCCAAAAATTTGATTTCTATCTTAGAGGTCATAACTTTGAAGTTCAAATGGATAATTCAGCTTTTCCTGCACTGCTTGATTTCAAAAATAAGATGCCACCAGATCCTCAAGTTCTTAGACTGAAAAATTGGTTCTCCAGATATGATTTTACTGTTAAACACATCAAAGGAGAAAAAAATGTTGTCCCTGACCTCTTATCAAGACCAAAAAAGCCAATTGCCATTGTAACCTCACTAAACTCATATCCTTTAATTTTCCCTCTCAATATTGCTGAAGCCAGTACTAGCTCTGGACCAACTCTTCTTCCAATGTTTCCTCCAGAAATGAGACATGATGTTATCACCGTAGAATATATCAAAGATTTTGCAAAAAATCACATGTTTCATTATTTGTCTCTTTCACTCTACCACCGTAGTGTTAAACCTAAACCTACCTGGTTTCAACCTGATGCACCATACCTAAACATCTTTGCATTATTAATGGATTTTCCTTTAATTGAAGAAGATATATGGTATCTTTGGTGTGCCACCCTTTTATACCACTATCCCATAGTTTTTCCCACTTTTATTATGTTTGAATTCCTCAATGACCTCCGCAATCAATCCACTCTGTTATGGAAATTTTTGGCTTGGTATCAACCTATCCCAAACTGGAAGAAAGATGTTCAACTTGAATTACAAAGACTCAGTATTTGGAAAGAAATGGAGTTACCTCCAACTGAAACTCCAAAACATGTAACAGTGGTCATAATTCATAGACCTTATTTTGAACATCCAGTTTCAAAATTACTTTATACCCAGAATCAAGTCAAAATCTGGAACACATTCACAAGTCTCCTAGAGATATCTGAACCAGACAGACTACCTCACAACCAAGCAGATCTAAATGTTCACCTCCATACTGAAAATGGAGCCCGTGAGGAAATGTTCAAAGTAAAGTCCACTTGTTCAAAGTTAAAAGCAATGGATATAATTTGTCCTCCTGATAATGATAATCCAACAATGTGGGACAAGATCCAACCAATAGATCCATCAGTAATTTGTTCCTCTATTACTTTTGGAAATTGAGAAATGGACAGTCATGTCATAATCAGAGATGAAAGCTCGACACGTATTGATCCAATAATGGATTCTCAAGATCCTCAAGATCCTTATGATTCAATCAGCCTCTGTTCAAGTGACGATCCCAACATGTCACCAAGTCACGAGCCTATCCTCAAGGACTAAAGAATCTCTGAAAAAGTATCTTTATGTAATAAAATGTCTTTTATATTTTGTTTTTAGTATGAGTCACATGTACTAAAAGTCTCGGTTTTGCAAGTTTGCTAAAAGCTACTTTAGAAAAAGGTTTGGAATCTTATCCAACCTTATCAGATGTAATTATTATGGTTGCTGTCCATCCTCTATATAAGGGGAAGTCTCTTGCCATTTGGAGGCAGACAAAAATCGAAATAAAATCATGAGTTGTTTCTAATTTTCTCTCTCTGAAAGCTTTGTTTATAATGACTATCCTCTAGTCCCTGACTAGAAAGAAGTATGCTCTGCACTTGCCATTTTAATGGAACAAGAAAGGGATTAATTTCAGCTTCCCTATTCTGTTGTTTTGCAGCAATCAATTCATCCATCTCTTTAATTTGCTCTTTAAGCCTCCTGATTTCTCTATCTTTTTTGTGATATTCTCCCGTGAAAACAGTCTTTTCTTCTGTCAGTTTTGAGATGTCTATCTCCAATTTAGCAATCTGTTTCTGGGATTCTTTGTAACACTTTCTGAGTTTATCAGAAAGGTATTGGAGTCTTTCTTTATTCTTGAGAACGGTTTCAGCAATCTGATCTACCTTTTTATCCACCTTTTTCAAGATCTTGTTTTGAGCTAAAAAGTTTTCAGTTTGCCAGTTGAGAACTTCTTTAGCTTGGGAAGGAGCTTTGAGAGTTCCGTCTAGTTGTACTTCTGTAGGGATTACTAAAGGTCTAGTGTTGACCTTAGTAATAGGATCTACCTTTTTGTCTAATGAAGGAAAATCTTTATCATAGTCAGTGATCATCATACAGGAAATATGTGTTGTAACCTTTTCTAGAGGTGTGCTGAAAGAATTGCATAATCCTGGAGGAGGAGGCCATGTGATCAGATCTGGATCACAAGGGGGTTTGGACAATAGGTTTTCTTTTCTCAGGATTTCTAGAGTTTACTCATAGATGGGCAATGGTTTTCTTTCATTCCTTATTCCTACCCATGGAGTGAATCCAGGGTCTCTTCTCCTAGGCTGAGGAGGAGGTTTGCAAGGCTTCTTCTTTCTTCTTTTTGATTATCTTCATCATCATTTGATTCTTCATCAGATGTATCACCAGTATGCATCCAGCAGTCACAGTCAGGATCACACATAGAAGGATCAACATCCCACATGAAGTGTCCATCAAATTTGTCAGAATAGATGGAGGATCCATTAGGCTTAAAGCTGTATACTGGGATTCTATGTTCTTTTCCAACAGGTATCACCATAAGTGACTGGAAACAATCAGTAGAAGAACTGATTTCATCATCAGGCTTCTTAAAAATGGTTTTAACACCACCATCAACAGTTCTTCTGAAAGTGGCTTCAAAAGACTGAATTGGTTTGTTGTTTTGCCTGATCTTTTCATAATCAGTTGTCCATTCAAGTGGAATCAGTTTGAGAAGTTCTTCTCGAGGAATTTGTCTGGGAACTTGGATAATGGATGGAACATCATCTTCACTTCTGTTAGCTATGACAAACAGATTATCATTTACCATTCCTGGTAAAGGAAGGTCATGAGCATGATTTTGTAATCTGTAAATCATCTGGTGATGAAGTGTAGCAGAGATGGCTTCTTCAATTTGCTCTGCTCCAGTGAGCTGGATCTGAACTTTCAGTCTAGCTGGCAGAGTTTTGTCCCTTAGTGAGACATTATAATTTGAAAAAATCGTGAGGACCGCACTTCCAGCATAAAGGGTGGTCAATAGAGTTGCTATGACAGCATGTTCATAGTGAATATAAGTAGAATCAAGGAGAGTGATTCTAGCAGTAACTGAAAGATTTTTCCTACCATGAAGAGATAGGACTAATCTTATTGCTCCAAAATGAAGGGCAGTGTATCCCTCAACCTTCCAATGGTCTATGAAAGTTTTAGGAATTTCTAGGTTGATGTACCTTTCTTTCTTTGTAGCAGGAATTTCACACTGGTCCATTCTGGTGGATTGGACATATTCCTTTATGGGAGATTGTTTTCTAAGGATCAAAGTATTGACTTTGTTGGTCCAGGATTTATGTCTTCTAAAAACATTGTAAGGGCTTAAAAGAGGAGTTATAGATTCCTGAATCTGAACATCTTCAGGAACATAAGTATACTCTATCAAATTTTCTATTTTATCAGAAGCAGTTCTGATACAGTTAACACGCTTTTATTTTAGTGTTATTGTTTAGAATTATAATTTTTTAAGGAGACAATTTTACTACTTATTCAGTAGTACATGTCAGAAAAAAATACAAATTTAGTGGCTGATTATTTAACATTTTTTTTACATGTCATGATTTTATTTGGATTGAGGAAACTCCTCTTATGTTACCTCCTTTTTTTTCATGGTAGATGTAATGATTTTAACTAACTTGTCTTTTTTAATATCACCCCACTTTAAAAAAATAATACAATTGTGTTTTTAGAATATTCAAAGTAAATTGAAACCTCACTAATAATCATTTAAAAAATAAAAAGAATAAAAAAACAAAAAAAATAGTGAAAAAGAAACAAAGAACAACGATTTTATTGCGGTATCCAATACTTAAATTGTCGTCCTTTCCACAGGAGGGAAAAAAAAAAAAACAAGAATCCGTCGCAGGACAGATGACAATTGCTTTTGAAGCTATCGATCAAATCAAGGTGAAATAAAAGCTATAACGCATATTTAAAAATTCATTAAAAACTTTATAAACATAAGTTTAATGAAGGGTAATGTTAAAACAAATGTGAATTTATGTATATGTAAATATAAATTTAAATACACTAATACTACATCGAAAGCTATAAAATCGAGGGTGTGACAGAAAATGAACCTGGTTTTTATGCTTTTATTCTTAATAATAACTAATAAATACAATACAGTATTATTCATTCAGAAAAAGAAATATTACTTGAATGCCACTATTTCCACAACTTCCATACTATATATTTGAAGTGATGTTGGGGAATAAGAGGATCCGAACTGATCATCTTTTTTGGAAGTTGAACAATTTAATGCTATAAGCAAAAACAAACAAGAAAAGGAGAACCCAGCCTATGTGAACAACAGCAACCACTGGGAGGAAGTGATAGTCATAACCCAAGTTTTCCTTCAGAAGTTCCTTCAGCCCCATGTGTCCAGCTTCTGGAATTTGCACTTGAGCAATTTCGTCACCCAATTGAGAGGTAACAAGGCCATAGATCGTCCATGCATTAGGAGAAGCCCAATAGTACCATCTCCACCATATAGGAATTTGCTATAACATTTAAGAGAAATATAAGTTTTTTAATATATAAATACATATGTTTTCCAATATCAAATTTTTGAATAAAAAAATATATATCAAAATGGTAGATAAACGTACCGTCCTAGGAATGACAAAGCCAGAAAACAAGTTCCAAACGCTCAAGAAGAATGAATTACAAATGGAAGCAATTTGGTAACTTGGAGTTAGAGCAACAATCATCATACCATATAATGTGAAGTAGATAAAGCACATTAGCATGAAATAGTAGAATAAAAATAATTTTCCCGCCTTCCATTCAAACCCCATCATGGAGTAGATGATGATAATGTAAATGCCCGTTTGAACGGCATTATAAAGTGTTTCAATTACCACCTACAGAACCAATGAAGTGCATTCGGAGTTAGTATAAGGAATCTATCCAATAAAGATACATCAACGTCATAAACTTATTTTAATTGAACAAATTGCAGCAATTGATTTTATTAGCTTTCTTATTCAATTCAACAAAGTCTTGCCCTTTAAATTAGGATTATATTAACAGGAACAATTGATTTAGATAAATCTCTCTTGCTTTACATTTATACCTGACTAATTGCATAGGGCAATGCTGAATACATTCCTGCTGCTCTTTCACGATACAATACAGTTCTTTCTATGTCAATGATTGGTTGCACTCCCATAGCGTTCATGGTTCCAAGGAACATCACAGCAGAGTACATGGCTCCTAAAAGATTCATTAAATCTTGTTGCTTTTGGCTGCCAACCAATTTAATTAAGCAAACATCAATGGTCAATATTAGCTTCAAATATTCAATTTAAATTTGCAAGATCATAAGAATTGCAAATTATTAAATAACTTACATATTTTTGGCTTTATTCCAAAATATTAGACCAAACATTAACCCAATGGCTAATGTGAAGAGGAGTCGAACGGCATTGTACGGAGGATTTCTCCAATATGACCAGTATTGTTTCCAAAAACATGCTTTGCACTGCACAAAGAATGATTGGGAATATTTTGTTGGGAAGGTTAGGTCATTGGAACCTGGTGCTGGAGTACTAAGCTCTTTGATAAGCTCTTGATTCCTCCTGAAGAAAGTATGAAGAACATGTAGTTATAATTCATAAACTATAATTCTTGTATCATATAATATAACCATAAGTCCATAAGTAGTAGTGACAAGTCACAAAGTAAAAAACTTACTGGTAAAGTGTAGAATTAGCATAAATCTCAGCAAAATCTATGCCAAGTTGAACCTCAATTGAAGGAGTGCTGACCTCAAGCATCCATGTGGCAGGATTATAGCCATCCTTGATTTTTGGAACCCCTGGAATAGTCTGGAGTAAAATATCAATATTAAATCTACAGAAGAAAAAAGCTTTTGCATGCCACTGAAATTATAAGCTGTTCACAATGCTCAAAGTATAAAGCAGAGGTATCAAGAACTCTCGAGATGATAGACACAAAAAAGCTTCAATACTCACTTCAAAATATTCTACGAGCTCTTGTGAATGACGACCAAGAGGTCCTGCATAGATAACTTGTCCTCCTCTTCTCATCAATAATAACTGTAATAACAAAGAAATCAAATTTGAAAATGTTATGCAATATAGCGAAATATTCAACTAAATAAACAACACATAATGCATACAAACTCTAATGATCTCATATCCCAAACTTGCCTCATCAAAAGCTTCAAAAACGTCTATGCTTGGTTGGTGAATTGTGCACACAACGGTCCTCCCAGTGTCTACAGTGTTTCTCACAGTTCGCATGACAATAGCAGCAGCTCTAGCATCAAGCCCAGATGTTGGTTCATCCATGAAGATAATTGAAGGGTTGGCAACCAATTCTACAGCAATTGTAAGCCTTTTCCTTTGTTCTGTTGATAAACCATCCACTCCTGGAAGGCCCACAAGTGCATCTTTGATTGGTTTAAGCTCAACCAATTCCATAACTTCTTCAACAAACATCTAAATCACCAAACAAAAATAGAACCAAATCATAATTAAAATAAAAAATGTTTATTAAAAAACTTAATCAATTTATAATGGCCAAGAAAGTTTGACAAAATTTGCTCACACACTCCCACACACCTTTCTCATTTGTCTATTCACATTTGAAGGAAGGCGAAGCCATGCTGAAAATAATAATGATTCATATACAGTAACATATGGAGAATGAATATCATTCTGTTCACAGTAGCCACTAACACGAGCAAATGTTGCTTGGTTCTTTGGGTAACCTGAGATGCTAATACTTCCTTGAATGTACCCTCCTGTTTTTCTTCCAGCTAATACATCCATAAGGGTTGTCTTCCCAGCACCACTAACACCCATAAGTGCTGTTAATACGCCTGGTCTAAAAGCACCACTTGCATCATGTAGTAGTTGAAGTCTATCTTCATTGATTCCTTGACTTTTCATTTCCTGTTACCATAAACCAAATTAAAACCTTTTTATTGTGAAAATAAATGTCCCAATAATTTTTACAGGAAGCTTAAAATTCAACGTTTCTAAGAAAAAACTATTTTGATTTCAATTAGAATATATGTTTACATAATTCCAAGTGAAAAAGAGAGAAATGTGTATACGAATTTAAGAAAGCAAAGATCCTAGTGAACTCAAAGTGGTAGGTGAAAGTACGTTGAAAATCATATAATATAGAAGTACACACCACCTTTTCAATCTACATGTTTTGAGAAGTATGAGAGTTGTATATTTCTTGATCATAAAAGAGTGCACTGTCTAGGGTTCAGAGTGACTTACAGCAGGCATATCAACGTAGTAGTCCACGTGATTGAATGCAAGTGAAAGAGGTTGAAACGGCAGGACCATTCTTGTTCTTTGTCCTTGATGAGAAGAACCTGCAATTCCGAATAAGTTTTCCACAATACCGTCAATCAATAATTGGAATTGCATGAGAAATATAATATCTAGTGCAGCTAAAAGCTTTTTTTTTCTTAACCCAAACTAATATTGTTCGTCAGTAATACCCCACCTTTCTACAAATAACAATGAAATACACTTGAATTACCTTCAATCTCATGTTGTCTTGGGATTGCCTTTTCATTCTTCTTTTCATCTTCTTCTGTGACGAATGCTTTTGAATCACCGGGCGCTGAAAATTTGGTTTGATTAAGAAGGTTTAATAGTGTTGAAAATTCCATTCATTTACAGACTATTAAAATCAATAGATATAACTTACTATTCAAATAAGTCAATGCAGCTATGCTGAGAAAATTGAAAAGAAGAGAAAACCCGAACAAGGCTCCAATGCATATCCAAAACCAATAATCTTCAGTATAAAAGCCTCTAGACTTGAGCAGTAATTTTCCGATGGTAGGTGCATCAATTCTTGAGTCTGTATTTGGCTGCAAAATATTAACCATATTTACAATGCTTTGAGTTGATGGAAATAATTTCGACTTAATGTAAATTTCGTTTTGTATTTGAACATGCATAACATTGATAATGAGAAATAAGAGTGAGAAAAAAAAAAATCTTACTTTGCTCCATCTTTCATCTAAAAATTCATTTATCACTATGGCATTCTGACCATACATCATAGGAGAAACGTAATAACCCCATATCATCCATGGCTTAATATCATCTGAAATAATAAAAGAACATTTGTAGAAATAAGTACTCATTAAAACCATAAAATATAACAATAAAACGAGTAGGTAGCTTAGAAGTCTCCACAAACATTACAACATCTCAAAGATTAAGAATTGAATGTTGTCTCACTTTTGGCGACAATAAATCCTCCAAGCACAAACACTAGTTGATAAATCAAGCCACTCAATATATTAGAAACAACTCGTGTTCTACCAATTGCACCAACAAGCCGGAAAAGAGATATAGCCATTTGATGAACGCCAAATAATGCCAAGAATAGTCGGAAAAATCTGGCGAAATACAAGGATAAATGTGAATTTACGAATTTTCATTCTAGTCTGAAAAGAACCATTGTTGCTCTGAAGCCAAAATAGAAAAAAATGCTTTAAAAATAACAATCAAGTTAAGTAGGAAAACATAGGACAACACTAAGAAAAAAACAAACCCATAGTACCTGTTAGCTGAAGGAGCAAACCCAATTGTATAGTACGTGAGTAAAATCCATATTGCTGATTCCACAAATGAGACGGGGATCCTGAGAACCCATATCGGTAACCCAAATGCCCATGCAGGATAGAACATGGAATCCCTTTGCTTGTAAAAGACAGGAAGCCTAGAAACAATCATGGCTTGTTCTGATGACCCATTAAACATCATATTTATCAGTGAAAAAAATAGCGCTCCAAAGAACTTCTGTCCATCTTGAACAGTGCCTACTGGCATTTCAGTTCTAAGGAACAAAGTGAAGCTAAAAACAGCTAAGACAGTTAACTGTATTATCCTATATATGTAAACAAATATGTCACGTTTCATAAGCAACCATTCTCTTGAGAAACATGCCTTCAATAGTTCCCGATTGGATATACCATACTTGTCTCTAACTAAGGCAGCACGATGGGTTTGGCTCTTATTATAAGGAACCTTAAGCTGTGTTGCAAGTTGTTCTCCTATGTAAAGCGAATGGAAAGACTCGGCAAATTCAGGAACTGAAACATATCTATAAGGTTCATCTCTTCTAAACCAATATTGTTGTTGATCTTTCTTAGACGTTACTTCTTGTAAAAAATCAGCAACTCCTTTTCTTGGAGGACATTTGAAACCCATGTTTTCGAAGAACTCTAGCACATTCTCACGTGGACCTTGGTACACAATTTGACCTTCTGAAAGTAGGATAATGTCATCAAATAGTTCAAATGTCTCTGGTGCTGGTTGTAGAAGAGATATCACCATGGTTTCATCCATGATATGAACCATTTGCCTCATGAACTTGCATATTTGAAAAGTGGTGGAACTATCCAATCCTGTTGATATTTCGTCCATAAAAAGTGCCTTTGCCGGTCCTACTAGCATCTCGCCTGCACCACGTTATAACTAGAGGGGTAAGTACACATTAATATACATATTTACCTTAATTCATTAGTTAAGCATCAAGGAGATAAGATATAATTGACCTGTTGTGACACGTTTCCTTTGTCCACCAGAAATACCGCGTCTCATGTCGTCACCTACCATAACGTCAGCACAAATATCTAATCCAAGTATCTGTCGGAAAAAAAAGCCTATATCTTATGACTTTTATTTTAATTTTTATAAAAAAATAATTATTTGTTATCTCTAAAAATAAGAAAAAGCATATGTTTTTATTTTTTGCATTCCAAATCATATGTTTTTAAGTCCAACTGTATCATTTTTGTATATGTAATGACTGAAAAATAATTTTTTTATAAGCTTTACTGTATCCTTATAATAATCTTCCTAAAAGACTTTATAAAGTAAGTATTAAATAAAAATGTTTATGTATTATTATGTTGAAAACATAAAATATATTAAATACTTTTTTATTTAATAATTAGGCCGGGGGATTTGTGGAAATAAAGGATAAGAGGATTAAGAATTATTTTTTATATATAAGTAAAGCAAAAGCGATAATATTTTCTAAGTATAAAAAACATATGTACGTCTGAAACGTAAATAGATAGCAGCAAAGGCGTAAAACTAATTAACATGGAGTTGAGCCAACATGCAATTACAAACCTTGAGAAAATAATCTGTTACCAACGTGGTTTTTTGGCCTGATATGGCTGTAGCCTTCATGAATGCATCAATCTCAGTGTCCGGCTTAATTCCTGCTCCTTTTTCCCTCCTTAAAAGTTCTTCCAACATTTCATATCTTGTGCCAATACCTAGACAACGTCCTGAAAAATCTAAGGTCTCTCTGACTGTCATTTCTCCATAGTGTAGGTCCTGTTGACTAATATAGGCACACGTTTTCTTAGCAACAAATTCATTTAGCTCATGGCCACAATAAGTGATTCCCCCAGAAACCTGGTCTTGTCATGAAAAAGAATTACACATAGATGATGAGAACTAAGAAAAAATTACTTTGAGTAAATTGATTAGAACAAAAAAAGAAGAAGAAGAAGAAGAAGAAGAAGAAATAAACCTTTAAATCTCTGTCAAGCTTCCCTGCAAGTGCTAGAAGCAATGTTGTTTTCCCTGCACCTGGAGGTCCTAACAGTAGGGTCATCCTGATATTACCATGTTAAATAAAATATTATTAGGCTTTAAATAAATATATTTTGTTAATCTTAATTTTTAGGCTTACGTTTAGACATTTAAATATAGTAAAATTTTGTAAACAAATAATTACATGTGTAATTAATAACTATTTTTTTAAATAAATGCATTATTTTTAGATACTTAAACTCAACCTAAGATTAAACACAACAAAAAATAAATAATAAAAAAATCATATTTTGTTTATCAATAAATATATATTTTTTAAAGCAAAATTCATGATCTTTAAAATCTGCTACTAATATTCTCAATTAAAATATTCTTGTGAAATTTTAAATAAGCAAGCTACCTTGATGGTTTGATGATTCCACTAACATCTTTAAGAATATGAAGTTTTCTCTTCTTGGAAGGTGCAAGGTGAAACAATACCAGAATCCTCTATCAAGCAAAACAAAATAAATAAAAAACAGTTATGTAAAACAAAATTAATATACCCCTTAAGTTTAACAAAAATCATAGATATGTTACCAACGAATACAAGTACGGTTAAAGCTAGTGCAAATAAGAAAATTTTCTTCTTAACATCGCTGCTTTATAGTATAGACAAACAAATGGAACAAGTACCTCAAAAGTGTTGAGAGTAACATTAAGTAGGGTGGGAAGTGCCCTACTTCCAACATGCACATTTCCCTCCACTGATAAATTCTCAAATCGAACTTCAATAGTTGGAATTTCAATCCCCACCCTGATTGTAAAAACGTTAGAAAATAATTAGTGGCAATAAACAATAGTGATTGCTTAGTATATAATTTTTCTAATAATTATGAACATACAATAAAAATTTATATATGATAAATTTTTATTAAAAACCACATGGTATCATAAGATCTAATATTATATTGATATTATTAACTATTTTAATTTTTAATAAAAATTTTACTAACTATGAAAATCAATAATAATAATTTTTTTAAAAAAACAACACACCTATTTATTCTGTCTCTAAGTTTACGTATGAATTTTTCATTGTCATTCTCCACAAATTTCAGTACACTCTCCAATAGCTGCCTCTTATCCTGTAACCCAAGGTTCGTGACATCAACTGGGCAATACACAACCTTTCCATTATCAAGAACAAGCCGTAGAACCCCTCTTCTCATGCGATCCATCGTTGGTAAGCGTTCTATGGCAGCCCATTTGAGATCCTCTTCATTATCTTTGTGGCTGTGTTCACTTCTTACATTGAAGATATCATTAGATGTCGTCCATGTTGCCCTGAAACTCCTCGATGGCCAGCTTCGGTGATTTCTTGTTCCTTTGAGCAAATCATTTCTTACTGATGCTGACGCCATTTGATTTTTAACACAAATTCACCAGTAATTACCTAAACTTCAAATGGATGCTAATTAAGTGCTGTGTATGTCTCTAATGTAACATACACACTAACACTCCAAGTTTGAAGAAGATGATGAAAATTTGTGGGTTTGTCATATGTATATATGCTATGTGTCAGAGAGGTATTATGAAAAATAATGTTTGACAGATTCATTCAATTGCTTGACAAAAGTGAAAGTTTGACTGACTTGGTCAAAATACCAAGATGTTCTTTTAATAATTTTTTTTAACTATTTTATAAAGTATTTATTAAATATATAAACTTGCTATTTTAAAATGAAAAGTGTAATCTTTTATTTAATAATTAAAAGCATTTTTTTAAAACAAGTTTTTTTAAAAAATTATTCATATTTTACAAGGGAAAAACTATCTAATAAGTTTATTTGCAAATAAGTAAATGAGGATCTTGAAATTTTATTAAGCTTAGATTACAGTAGATTTTACACTAAATGGATGATAGATATACTAAAAAAAGAACTAGGGTATTTGTACATTGTATCAATTTGATCGTAAAATTATAGTGGTTTGGATTGAATTGGATGATTTAGTTTATAAGTTTATTTAAAATATTATAAATAAATTTATTATTTCTTCTATATTATTTTTAAATAAAATATAAAAAACTATATACTAGAATAATTTTAAATTAATCTAAAATATATTTATAAAATCATTAAAATAATCAAATGTATTCCTAAAAATAATAAAAAGATGTAACTTAAACAAAAATAATTATAAAAAGTAATTATTATAAACATGTGTGAGATGTTAATTTTATAAATAAAATTATACACAGTCATATAGATTTGATTTGAATTAAATTAGATCGAGTTTTAAAATGAGATTAAAAATTCAATATAATAAAAAATTAGTTTAATAATGTTAGATTTGTTTATTTTTAGTTAATTCTGTTTTTTATTTTTAATTCAATTTTTAATAATTTACATCAAATTGAATGCACTTTAAAAGAAATACTTTTAAATCGTAGCTAATATTGTTAGATATAGGTTGAAGTAGGACGCTTCACATTAATAGGATAATAAAAATAAATAATATATAATTAATTTTATATTTATTCTTAAGTAGAACTTGTTTACTTGTACCCATTGTTGTTAGATACATATTAATTCAAACCAAACACTTCATGTATATTCTAGATATTCTTAATTATATTCTAATTTTTCTAAATTCTTGTTAATTAGTGTTCTAAATTTTTTTAAAATAATAAATTATTACAAAATATATTAAGATCATACATTAAAAATTACAATAAATGCGTATGCAATAACATTTTTAATATTTTTTTATTTTTAATCAATGCCTTTCTTTAAATTTTTTTATTACTTTATATATTACACAATAATCAAGAGTATCACAGTAAACAATTAAAGAAAAATGACAGTGACACACATTTTTTAACCACGCCTTGGATTATTATTCGGTGAAATTTACGAAAAAATTATTAAATTATATGTTACACTCTTTTTATTTAGTAAGACTTGCATAAATTATTAATAATAAGTATATTATTTACATTCTCTTAATTAAATGATGACATACATTAACTTTTTTTTAAAATATTTTCTTTTTATTTAAGATTTATATTTTTATATCTTTATTCGAAATTCGTTTTATCCTTTTTTTCCCCTCTGTAGACGCATGCATAGAGAGAGAAAGAGGAAGTTGGTAATTATAACGATGGTCGATTTCATTCAAATATTGAAACATTAATATGCTTGCCGTTGATCAGAATAACAAGAGTTGCTTATACCTGACATAGAGCACGCGTCAGCTAACTCAGGCATGGAAAGAGGAGAAGAAGAATGAAGAAATACTTTAGGGTTTGCAGTTTATTTATATAACTACGATTTTTTCACTTTGTTTATATATATATATATTTTAAATTTATATGTTATCTATGGTCTTTATTATTTTCTCTCTTCCTTTACTGTACGCCATGTCAAATGATTAATTATTATTGTTATCTGTACTGTACGTCTGTAAAATGTTGTCCTTAACAACAGTATCACTCTTTTATTGAAAATGTTTGACACTTTGACTATCTGTACAGGGGATTTCCATTTTTGTATGAACTTTAAAATTGTCTTTTTCTAATGCTAAATTATTACCTTAATTAAATACTGGGAATTCAATTGAAAAAATACATATTTTGTTTAATTGATAAGAGCTTTAAATATTTTTTTTGTTGATTTGACCATATTTAATTGTGTAGAAAAAAGTAAAAAGAGAAAATGTTAAAAATGAAAGACTAAAGAATACTTCAATGATGCGATGACCTCATGCACATCGTTAGTTGAAAAAAATAAAAAATAAAAACCCTCCAGTCATTAGATTTTAGGATCTAGGGGCTTTTAAGATCCTATAAAAAAAGTAATACTTACTGATAATTTAACATTGACTTAGTCTCTTCTATTCTGATATTCTTATAACAATAAATTTATTTGTATAAATATTATGAATTTAAATTAATAATTTGATATGAGGCACGTAATAGAAAAGTAGTATCATACAGGAGTTAAATAATAAAAAAAAAAATAATGACATAAAAAATATAAAAAATAAATTTAGATAGCATGAAATGAAAGTATATTATGAGGCACGTAAAATATAATTTACTTTCTGTATTTTTTTACTTTAATCTTCATCACGTGACACAAATTAGTAGATAACATTTCAATAATTCTAACATAATAACATTTGACAAATTCATGATTTACCAAAATTTAAGAAATAATGATTTACGAAACAAAACTTTATGGCATAGGCAAGAACTTCAACGCTATATATATACACTACAAAATATAGTTTATGTATGTCATGCGAAAATATCCAAGAACTTCAGGCTGCACCATTGTTCAGATGATATAAATTATACTGCTGAAACAATATGGAAAATATAAAAGTATCGATCCCTGCTTATCTCTTTTGGAAGTTCAGGAATTTTATGGCATAGGCAAACACAAATAAGAAAATGATAACCCAGCCTACATGAACAACAGCAACCACTGGCAAGAAATCATATTCATAACCCAAGTTTTCCTTAAGGAATTCCTTCAGCCCCATACTCTTAGCTCCTGCGACATCTATTTGTGCAATTTCATCACCCAATTGAGAGGTAACAAGGCCATAGATCGTCCAAGCATTAGGAGTAGCCCAATAGTACCATCTCCACCACACAGGAATTTGCTGTAACATTTAGGAGAAATATAAGTTTCTGATATATGTCCAAAAAACTAACATTATTTTCGGGATAAAATTATGAATTAAATATCAAAATGGCATATTAACATACCATCCTAGGAATGAAAAAGCCGGAGAACAAGTTCCAGATGCACAAGAAGAAGGAAATACAAATGCAAGCAATTTGGTAACTTGGGGTTAGGGCAACAATCATCATCCCATACATGGTGAAGTAAATGAAACACATTAGCATGTAATAGTAGAACGAAAAGAATTTTCCTGCCGTCCATTTAAATCCCATCATGGAATGAATGACCATAGTATAAACGACCGTTTGAATTGAGCTGTACATTGTCTCTATAACGACCTACAAAACAATCAAAGTGTATTTTAGTTAATTTAACTACTATATATACAATGTTTTCCATTGGGACATGGTCTCTATCCAATAAAGATACGTTATTTTTTAAAACATTATAAACTTAATTTCGTTGAACAAATTAACAATCAATTTATTAGTCTCGTTGAATTTAGCAAAACTTTTAATTAAAATACTGTATCATAAAAAAATATTTACACAGCCATCTAACAAATAAATTACTATATTATTAAAAATTATTAACTTTTATGATAATTACTTAAAAATTTATATTTACAATATTTTTTAATTAATAAACCGTCTAAAAATTAAGCTCTTAGCAAAAGTATGCCCATAATATAACCTTGTAAACCATCGTATGCATAGGTAAATTTGATTTACTTATCTCTTCCATTACTTAAATTATACCTGACCAAGCGCGTAGGGCAATGTTGAATACATTCCTGCGGCTCTTTCACGATACAATACCGTTCTTTCTATATCCACAACTGGCTGCACTCCCACAGCGTTCATGGTTCCAAGGAACATCACGGTAGAGTACATGGCTCCCAAAAGATCAAATAAATCTTGTTCTTTTTGGCTACAAACCAAATTAGTTTAGCAAATTAATATTAATTAATATATAGTCGATATATTAACATGCAATGCAATTTAAATGTGCAAGATCATAATTCAGAATATCGATGCACTGATAAAACTTGAGTGCAATGCCATTTCAATATTATAGACAACTTACACATTTTTCGCTTTATTCAAGAAAATTACACCAAACATCACAGCAAAGACTAATGTGAGGAAGAATCGCACAGCATTGTACGGAGGATTTCTCCAATATGACCAATATTGTTTCCAAGCACAAGCTTTCCATTGCACCAAGAATGATTGGGAATATTTGGTTGGGAAGAATAAGTCCTTGGAACCTGATGCTGGAGTACTGAGCTCTTTAATAAACTCTTGATTCGTTCTGAAGAATTAATGTACAAAGAAATTTTAATTATTATTTAGAAAGCTAGAATTCTAGCTAGTACGATATAACCATGCATAGTAGAAAGTGACAAATCGCCAAAGGAAAAATACTTACTGGTAAAGTGTGGAGTTAGCATAAATATCCGCAAAATCTTTGCCAAGTTGAGCCTCAATTGAAGGAGTGCTGATCTCAAGCATCCATGTGGCAGGATTATAACCATCCTTGATTTTCGGAACCCCTGCAATAGCCTGAAGTATATATTAGACAAAGAAATTTTTACCACTAATAACTAGCACATTATGTTGTAAAGCAGAGGTATCAAAAACTCGAGATCTTAATCAAATAGAAGCTTCGGTACTCACTTCAAAATAGTCTATGAGCTTATGTGAGTTGTGACCAAGAGGTCCAGCAAAGATAACTTGTCCTCCTCTTTTCAACAACAATAGCTGCAACAATAAATAATTTTTTTTGCATTATAAATTAATTAATTGTGTATTAAGATTTTGAATGGGGGTGAACTATCTTATTTATATAAAATATCTTAAATAATTTAAACTAATAATCCTCTTATTTATGTATTATTTTATTTGTTAACACATTATCGTAATATTTTATTATCTTATGTGACGATGTACTATGCAAAATATAACATAATAATAAAGAAATATATAGCATATTAGTCAAATACACGTTAATGATTTCATATTTCAATCTTGCCTCATCAAAAGCTTCGAAAATGTCTACGCTTGGTTGGTGAATTGTGCACACAACGGTTCTCCCAGTGTCTACAGTGTTTCTCACAGTTCGCATGACAATAGCAGCAGCTCTAGCATCAAGCCCAGATGTTGGTTCATCCATGAAGATAATTGAAGGGTTGGCAACCAATTCTACAGCAATAGTAAGCCTTTTCCTTTGTTCTGTTGATAAACCATCCACTCCTGGAAGGCCCACAAGTGCATCTTTGATTGGTTTAAGCTCAACCCATTCCATAACTTCTTCAACAAACATCTGCAACCCCAACCGAAGTAAAACAAAATCAGAATTCAAATAAAATATTAGCATTAAAGATTTAATTAATTCATCATGACTAACAAAATATCACAAAATTTGCTCAAACATATACCTTTCGCGTTTGTGCATTTACATCTGAAGGAAGGCGAAGCCACGCTGAAAATAATAGTGATTCATATACAGTAACATAGGGTGAATGAATATCATTCTGTTCGCAGTAACCGCTAACACGAGCAAATGTTGCTTGGTTCTTTGGGTAACCTGAAATGTTAATAGTTCCTTGAATGTACCCTCCTGTTTTTCTTCCAACTAATACATCCATAAGGGTTGTCTTCCCAGCACCACTAACACCCATAAGTGCTGTCAATACGCCTGGTCTAAAAGCACCACTTACATCATGTAGCAGTTGAAGCCTATCTTCGTTCATTTCTTGATTTTTCATTTCCTGATACCATAAAAAAATTCAAGAGTTATATATATATATATATATACACTATAAAAATGAATAAGACCAATTAATTTTCAAAGGAGACTTCAAGTTGACGTTTCTATGAAAACTTTTCAGTTTGGGTTATACTTAAGGTAGTTTTAAAGACTGTGTTTAATCGTAAAAAGTATGTATTATACTTTTGTATTTTCAATATAATAAATATTTTAATTTTTAATAAAAGTTTCTTATTTTCAAATGCATGAATTCAGTTCCACAGATCACAGTTAACAAAATGAGAAAAATATTTTTATTAACTTTTGATTTTTAGACTAAATTTAAACATTAAAAATAATAATTATTTTTAATTAAAGATAAAATTAAGATTTAACATTTCAAAGTACTAATTTTTTATTAAAAATATTTATAATACTATATATCTTTAATTTAATAATCATTCCTTTTATCATAAAAAAGTATTACTTTTTAAATATTTAAATTTAAGATTGGGATTAATAGAATTTTCATATAAAGGGATTGATTATACCTTTATATTATTCTCAGTAAAAAGTAAGAAATAATGCATTATATTTGCATTTAAGAAATCTAAGATCCTTGTAAATTCAAAGTGGTACTCCATGTTTATCTTATTATGTATGTTGAAAATTTAGAAATATTTAGTGAACCTGCTCCTTCAATTATATGATGCAATAAAAGTAAGAAATACATGTAGGGTTTGTAAGACCATGATAGGTCTCGTAAAATCCATGTCTTCTCTCTTGTTAGACTGTTTAGTAATTAGAGATTTTTTTCATGAGAAAAAAAAACATAATAAAGTGATATTTTAGTACAAAAAGGAAATGGGTAGTTAATTGCAAAGAAAGAGATATTTCTTAATCTCAATAAAGATGCATATCATGGATTGTAGAAATTAGTGACTTACAGCAGGCATATCTACATAATAGTTCACATGATTGAATGAAAGTGCAAGAGGTTGAAATGACAGGGCCATTCTTGTTCTTCGTTCTTGATTAAAAGAACCAGCAATTTCTGAAGAATTTTTCTTTGTCATGTCCATACATGGAACTCCTATTTGTCAGAAAGACAGAGTATTAAATAATAGCGTCATAAAATAAATTGAATTATGTGAGAATAATGTGCAACTATACTTCTTTAAAAACTGTCGCAAAGTCGTGAAGAGAATATAACCTGTATGAAAAAATAAAATTCATATAGTAGAATTACTTAAAAATTGTTTCTTAACCAAAACTAATATTGTTGGTTAGTTATACACAACAATTTCAGAAACAGCAATGAAATGCTCTTGAAATCAGCAAGAAAATAAGGAAAGAGAGTTAGATATTAAAACCTTCGACATGGTGTTCACGGGTTGACTTTTCATTCTTCTTGTAACTTTCATCTATGATGAATGCTTTTGAATCACCAAATGCTGAAATTTTGATTTGATTAAGAAGGTTTACTAATGTTGAAAATTCCATTCAATTAAGGAATATGAATTATTAAAATCAAATAGCTTGACAACTTACGATTCAAATAAGTCAGAGCCACAATGAAGAGAAGGTTGAAAAGAAGAGCGAACGCAAACAACGCCCCAATGCATATCCAAAACCAATAATCTTCAGTGAAAAAGCCCCTAGACTTGAGAAGTGCTTGTCCAATTGTAGGTGCATCAATTGTAGGGTCTGTATTTGGCTGCAAAATATATAAAACATGTTTGACAATAATTGGAGTTAATGGAAGTAATTTAGACATGCAAATTTGTTTTTTTGTAATGAAATTTAGGTAACATACGCAATGAGGAATTGAGAAGAATGAGAAAACATATTTCTTACTTTACTCCATCTTTCATCCAAAAATTCATTCATAACTATGGCATTCTGACCATACATCATAGGAGAAACGTAATAGCCCCATATCATCCATGGCTTACTATCATCTGCAGGCATAAAAAAATAAAAAATAAATAACTTAAATAAGTGTACCATAACTATAAAACAAGAGTAGGAAACAATAAAAAAAATCTGAACATTAGAAAAATTTTAAAGTATCCTTGAACTACACGATCTAAAAGATTAAGAAGCAATTAATTGATATCTCACTTTTGGAGACAATAAATCCTCCTAGCACAAATATAATTTGGCAAATCAAGCCACTCAGCATGTTAGCAACAACTTGTATTCTGCCAATTGCACCAATGAGCCGGTATAGAGAGATAGCCATCTGATGAATACCAAATAATGCCAAGAAGTGTCGAAAAAGCCTGATGAAATGGAAGGATAAATGCGAATTTAGAAAATGTTTTTTTTTTCATTCTAGTCTAAAAAAACTACTATCGCCACAATACTTAGAATAACTTTTTAATTTTCATTAAATGAAGCCTATACCAATCAATTAACGCCTAACATTTTTTTTTGTCAGTATATGACATTTTTTAGGAATTGAATTGACAAGGAAAACTAAGGATATTATATTTTAGAAAATGCGAACAAACAATTATTACCTGCCTGCTGAAGGAGCAAATCCAATTGTATAGTATGTGAGTGCAATCCATATTGCTGATTCCACAAATGAGACGGGAATCCTGAGAAGCCATATAGGTAACCCAAATGCCCATGCAGGATAGAACATGGAATCCCTTTGTTTGTAAAAGACAGGAAGCCTAGAAACAATCATGCCTTGTTCTGACCCCCCATTAAACATCATATTTACCATAGCAAAAAATAATGCTCCAAAAAACTTTTGTCCATCTTGAACAGTGTCACTGGGCATTTCAGTTCTAAGGAACAAAGTGAAGCCTAAAATAGCTAAGACAGATAACTGTATTATCCTATATATGTAAACAAATGTGTCACGTTTCATAAACAACCATTCTCTTGAGAAACATGCCTTCAGTAGTTCCCAATTTGATATACCACACTTTTCTTTCACTATGGCAGCTCGGTGGGTTCTGCTCTTATCAAAAGGAACCTTCAACTCTTGTGCAAGTTTCTCTCCTATGTGAAATGCATAGAAAGACTCAGCAAATTCAGGCACTGAAATATATCTGTAAGGTTCATCTCTTCTAAACCAATATTGTTGTTGATCTTTCTCAGAGGTTACTTCTTGTAAAAAGTCAGCAACTCCTTTTCTTGGAGGACATTTGAAACCCATTTTTTCAAAGAACTCAAGAACATTCTCACGTGGACCTTGGTACACAATTTGACCTTCTGAAAGTAGGATAATGTCATCAAATAGTTCAAATGTCTCTGGTGCTGGTTGTAGAAGAGATATCACCACAGTTTCATCCATTGTATGAACTAATTGCCTCATGAACTTGCATATCTGAAAAGTGGTGGAACTGTCCAATCCTGTTGATATTTCGTCCATGAAAAGTGTCTTTGCTGGTCCTACTAGCATCTCCCCTTCACCAAAATTAAATTGAAATCGTAAGTATATATCTGAATAGATAACTACAGATGTTTAGATACAAGTTATAGTTGGAGGCCATTAATTAATTATTAGAAGAAAACACCAGAAAGAAAAAATTTAGTATCAAAATACTATCTTTTTAAACATTTTTATTCTTTTATTAGCCTCTCATTGATAAAAAGTACGAGTTCTTTAATGAGCCAATAAAATATTTTGCGTAATAATAAAATAATTAAAATATAAAAGTAAAAAATTTGTTACATCCCTTATTTATAACTATGTAAGATTTCAAGTTTTACCACAGCCATCAAACAAAACTATTAAAAATAAGTATTTTACACTCAAGATGGTAAGTGCACCCGTAGGGAAAAGAGAGATGGGAAGAAAAAATGTGATAAATTTAACAAGTAATATGATGACAAAGAAAGAAAGATAAAAGAAAATAATCATTTTAGATGCACTCAGATGGTACATATACCCACAGGAAAAAGACCGACAGAAAGGAAAGAAAGAAAAAGTGATAAATATAATAAATGATACGATAAAAACAAATTAAATAAAGAGAAACAAAAACTGACATGAATACAGTGTAAAAAAATATAAAAAATATCAAATCTATAAAAATATGTAAGATCTACCACTATTTCTTTTTCGGCCAATAGCTTGCTAAAAATTAAGGTATTTTTATGATATTTTTGTATTATTATTATTATTATTATTGATGTTGTTGTTTTTAAAAAAAATGGCTAGAAGAGAATTTAATCTTCAAACACAGCAATTTTAGGAGATGCTAGATAAACTATTTTATAAATTAATTAATTGATTAACCTGTTGTGACACGTTTCTTTTCTCCTCCAGAGATCCCCCTTCTCATGTTATCACCAATCTTAATGTCGGCACAAATATCCAATCCAAGTACCTATAAGAATGAGAAATAAATCAATCTAATTAAGAGATAAATATATAGGTAATACTAATTACTTGGAGATAAGCCAACGCATATAATCACAAACCTTGAGAAAATAATCTGTTATCAAATTGGTTTTTTGCCCCGAAATGGCTATAGCCTTCATGAATACATCAATCTCAGGGTCTGGCTTAATTCCAGCTTGTTTCTCCCTTCTTAAGATTTCCTCTAACATATCATACCTTGTGCCAACACCCAGATAACGTCCTGAAAAATCTAATGTCTCTCTCACTGTCAATTCTCCACAATGAAGGTCATGTTGACCAATATATGCACAAGTTTTTTTGGCAACAAATTCATTCATTGAATGTCCACAATAAGTGATTCTTCCAGAAGCCTGATCATAACATAAATTTTTCGTGATTAAAAAATATGCTTGAGATGATAAGAACTAACATGAATTTATTTAAGTAAATTGACTGAAACTAAATAAAAATATGAAAAAAAAAAATGCAAACAAACCCTTAAATTGTTATCAAGCATTCCTGCAAGAGCCAGAAGCAGTGTTGTTTTTCCTGCACCTGGAGGACCTAAAAGTAGGGTCATCCTGATATCACCATATTAAATGAAATAAGATTAAATCCTAAAGTGCATTAAATATGTAATAAAATAATTAAATAAAAGCATATTTCAACCGTCCTTAAAAGTGATGATAATACTTTTTTAATAAATATATTCTTATGCAACTTTTATTAGCTACCTCGATGGTTTGACAATTCCACTGAGATCTTTGAGAATATGAATTTTTCTCTTCTTGAAAGGTGTGAAGTGAAAAATCCCCTGAATCCTCTATCATGCACAACAAATGAATAAAAAATGGTTAAAGTTGGTGTAGGAAGCATTCATTTGATATCAAGAAAAAGAAATTATTCCTTCACTTACTGGATTTTTAAAAGAAACAATCAAATCGGGTATACCTCAAAAGTGTTGAGAGTAACATTAAGTAGGGTAGGAAGTGCTCGGCTTCCAACATGCACATCTGCTTCCACTGATAAATTCTCATATCGAACTTCAATTTTTGGAATTTCAATCCCCACCCTGTATTTAAAAATTCAGATCAATAGAAAGTATTAATGTCTTAATATAATAATGATAGATATATAGATAAATAAATAAATATATTAACACCTGTCAACTCTTTCTCTAAATTTAAGTAGGAATTTCTCATTGTCATTCTCTATTACACTCTCTAGTAGCAACTTCTTGTCTTGCAACCCAAGATTGGTGACATCCACTTGGTGATGCATGATTTTTCCATCATCAAGCAATTGTCTCAGAATCCCTTTTCTCATGCGATCAAATGTTGGCAAGCGTTGCATAGAAACCCATTGAAGATCATGTTCATTATCCTCTTGGGTTATGTTTAACATGTCTACTATAGATGGAGATGTTGCCCTAAAGCTCGCGGATGGCCAACTCCTATTATTTCTTTTTCCTGTGACCAATTTCTTTTTTGTTGAAGAGGCCATGTAATTTCTAAAATCAGCTCACTGATAATGACCTGAGCATCAAATGAATAGCAAGAGCAAGAGTTTTTATATCTCAAATATGACACTATCAGTCCAAATTTAAAAGTATAGGACTAGAGAGAGGAAAATGAGGAGAAGATGATGAAATTGTGTAGGAGGGTGTGACTCTGTGTAGTATATATGCATGTGTCTCATAGGTAATTCTATAGAACCTTCCTTTCATTCAACCATTTGACACAGATAATTTGACTACATCTTGGTCAAAGTACATATATATCTATATCTCCATCTACATGTATATCTTGTATTAATTAAAAGAAAAAATTATTAAGAACAATTTTTCATACTTCTTTATTATATTTTTAGTTATTGATTAAAAATTACAAAACATAAATAAAAATTATTAAATTAATAGTGAGATCTATATAATTCTTGTAATTTTTAATTAACTTTAACTAATAATAAGAGTGTGTTTAAAAAATTATACTAAAAATATGTCATTAATATATTTTTTAAAAAGTCTCATTGAGACATTTCTAAAGGGAGTAAATAAAAATATTCAGATTTTAGTAAGTTTTTATTGCGATACATTTTTTTAATTAAATCAATAGATACATTTAAGGGAACACAAACACTTGATAATAGTCACAGACGTGATACCCTTATCAAATATAATAACAAATATTTTGGATTCTTTAACTATATTTCACATTTTCTTTTACTTGTATACTAATGCATGCATATACGAATATCATAATAATTAAATAAAAGGAAATTACAAGTACTCCCTTTTCAACATTATTTTTATTATTAATATATTTTATATAAGACTCACCAAATAATATACCCACAGAAAACTAATACAAAGGTCGTTCAATGATAAAACAAAAAAAAAAGTTACTAAAACTCTTTTTACATTCATCCAATAAAAACACTTATTATATTTATGAAGACAGTATTTTATTATATTTGTAATGAATATTAATGCTAACTTTTAAAGCATTAATTTTTTTATTTAAAAAATGTTTTTTATATTAAATTTATATGCTATAGTAAAATTCTGTCTTGTTTTATAGTTTATCATACTTCAAAGTTATTGACGTCTGTCTTACTTCCCAAAAAAAAAAAAAAAAAAAAAATAAGAGACGTGCTGTCGGTGTGTGGACGTTTTTGAAATATATTTATTTTATTTAATTATTTTTAAATAAAAATTGATAATTGAATTATATAATATTATTTTAAAGGTGTTTATTAAATTTTTAATAAATTAATTATTTTCAAATATATTATTTTATAATTAATATTTTTATATATTAAAAATATAATTTTTATAAAATAAATTTTATTAATTAAGTATTAATTAATTTTTACATTATATAATACTTTACAAACTTAATTTCTTAATTTAATATTTGAATTGATAAAAAAAATTATCTCTAAATGTTATTAAATAACATTAGTTTAACATTGCTCGCTGGATCGATAAGTCAGTCACTACTATAATACTTTCTTTCACCCCCTTTATATCAAATCAAGATTAAATAAAAAATGATATATTTAATAATAATATTTATATAAGTATTAATAAGTTTATTATTTCACTATATTTTAATATATAATATATTATTTGAAATTTAAAAAATTCTTTGTCAATTTTATATCTATAATAATATATAAAGTTTTAAATACCTAATTTTTATAATAATATTATAAGAATTAATCGTTAGATTAATAAATTGTATTTTTAATAAAAATTATTATTATATAGAGTGTGTGTGTTTAAGTGTAAAGGTTGTCAGTGTGGTTGGTACATTGACTATGCTTGCAGTCAAAACAACAATTAAGGTTGCAAATATGTAACGTTTACCTTCTCTGGTTTTCAGGTTCAGTTTCAGGGTTTTTAAATCTATTCAATAAATGGACTTTTATTTTTTCATTACTGCAATTCATCAATTAAATATACAATAAATTCAGTGTATATATATATATATATATATATATATATATTTCCGAAACTTTTATGATCGATGTGCTAACTTTTGTAATAATTTCACCGCTTCAACTAAATGTTAGCTGTTATAATAATAACAAAATTGCGAACTTTATTTTTAAAAATTTAGTTTAAATAATTTACAATAATACAAATTTATTAATTAAAAAGTATTCGTTATATTTTTATATAATAAATAATTTTTTAGGTCTTTTTAATTGATGTGCTCAGGAGATTGTTTTTTTTTTTACACCGATCAAAAAATAATAATTTTTAAAAAATATATAATAAATTTTATATTTTTAATAAAAAATATTTTGAATTCTTTAATAAATGCCTTAAAAATACTTATTAATATTTTTATTTTTAATAAAAAAGTTTTAAATAATAAAATTTTAAATCTTGATATATTATATAAAATTAAAGATACTTTTTAGATAAAATGATTTTTAAAAAATGTTATAATTTTAATTAATATTAATTTAAATTTAATTTCTAAAATTTAACATTATATGTTAATCAACATTATAAATATTATTTTAATTTTTTATATTCTTTTAATTATCAATCAATATTAGTCAGTAACTTTTTTTTAGAGAATCAATCATTGAATTAGTCACTAAAAAAACTAATTCTATAGTATTTTTATTTTATTTTTAATTTAATTATCTATCATTTAGGTATCATTAGCAACTAAATTATTAATAATCATTTTTTAAAAAATCAGTAATTTAATCATCAATGAATGAGACACATTTAAAGACCAAAATTTTAATTACTAATTCAAACGTTAAGTCAAATTTAAATTTAGCAAAATATATCATAAATTTAATCGGCCTTTGAATCGATCATTATCTTATTATTCAGAGAGAGAGGGGGGGGGGGGGGAATAAGATTGGTATAGATGTGTGTAAGTCATATAAAAATAAAATAAAATATATTTATGTTTGAAATTATATATTTTTATAAAAAATAATTTCCTTCAAATCAAATAAAATTATTATAAAAAGAAAATCTCTCTTGAAATATTTAATACAACCATATATTTAAGATTTAAACTCAAAAGTTATTTAATAGTTTTTTTTAAGTTAATATATTTACTATTTTGATATTATGTGTTATAAACACAAAAATATAGAGGCTAGTCATTCCAATTTAGTTTTATTTGTGGTAATATCTTGTCACGTCTGCTGTCAAATTCTGATTCAGTGGTGGTATTTCTAAAAACATGTGCATATAATGGGTTTGTTCTTGTTTAAAAGAGAAATGAAAACATGTCATTTGAAAATCATCCAAAAATTTCATGGGCTTGCCATTGTTTAGAAGACAAATGAAAAGATGCTTTTGAAACAAAATGGAAAAATAAACAAGAGGGCCCTAGCTATCTTTTTTGGAAGTTGAGGAATTTAATGCCATAGGCATAAACAAACATGAAAATGAGAACCCACACTACATGGACAACAGCAACCACCGGTAGGAAATCATAGTCAAAACCCAAGCCTTTCTTGAGGAGTTCCTTCAGACTCATGCTTTCAGCTCCTGGAATTTCTATTTGTGCAACTTCATCTCCAAGTTGAGAGGTAACAAGCCCATAGATTGTCCAAGCATTAGGAGAAGCCCAATAGTACCATCTCCACCATTTAGGAATTTGCTGTAACATTTAGGAGAATTATAAGTTCCAATTTTTAAAATAAAGAGCTTTATTTAATTTCTAACATCAAACATGAATTATATATCAGAAGACTTAATTAAGTATTTTGGTCTCTACAAATAATATACACAATTTATACTTAGTCTCTATAAATTTTTTTATTAAGATATAATTTTTATATTTTTTACATATTATTATTTTTAGTTCATATAAATGACATGATTTATTAAAATATTGTTAAATATCAATTTTTGGTTTGACTACATGGACTAAAAACAATAATTTATAAAAAATAAGAACTATATCTTAACAGAACTATGCTTAAATTATGTAACTTTTACAGTGAACAATACATATGTCAAAATGCAAATAACATACCGTTCTTGGAATGACAAAGCCAGAGAACAAATTCCATAAGCCCAAGAAGAAGGTACTACAAATGGTAGCAATTTGGTAACTTGGGGTTAATGCAACGACCATCATCCCATACAGCGTGAAGCAGATAAAACACATCACATTGAAGTAATAGAATGAAAACAATTTCCTAGCCTTCCATTCAAATCCAATCATAGAGTAAACGACAACAGTGTAAATGACTGTTTGAATTAAATTATAAACTGCCTCTATTGCCACCTGCAAAATCAAAGAAGTGCGTTTTAGTTAGACAATCATATATTATTATATTAATCTAACAAGGAAATCTATCTAATAAAGTTATATATGATCAGTTTCATTGAAGAAATAATTGAATTTGTCAGTTTTTTTCTTTAATTCTGTGGTACATAACCTTGTGCATAACTATAAATAGGACAAATTGATTAAGATTTCTTGTGTTATACATTTATACCTGGCCAAGTGCATAGGGAATTGCTGAATACATCCCTGCAGCTCTTTCACGATACAAAATAGTTCTTTCTATGTCAACAATTGGCTGCACTCCCATTGCATTCAAGCTTCCAAGAAACATCACAGCAGCGAACATGGCTCCCAAAACATTTGATAAATCTTGTTGTGTTTGGCTGCCAACAAGTTTAGTTCATCAAACATCAATATTTATTAGTAACTTCAAATGCAATTTAAATGTGTAGGATTGTAAGAGCACCAAATACATTGATAAGACTTAAGAGCAAAGCTATCTTCTAATTTCAAGATTATAGACAAGTTGGATCAAATATATAAATTATTCATTGACTTACATTTTCTTGGCTTTATTCAAGAAGATTAGACCAAACAATATTCCAATGGCTAATGTGAAGAGGAGTCGAACGCCATTATAGGCAGGATTTCTCCAATATGACCAATATTGTTTCCAAAAACAAGCTTTCCACTGCACAAAGAATGATTGAGAATATTCAGTTGGGAAGCATAGGTCTTGGGAACCTGGTTGTGGAGTACTGAGCTCTTTGATAAGCTCTTGATTCCTTCTGAAGAAAGGACAAAGAAAATATAGTTAAGTCATAAAGCTAGAATTCTGGCATCATATAACTATGCATAGTAGTGACACAAATCACATTACTGGTAAAGTGTAGAGTCAGTGTAGATCTCTGCAAAATCTATGCCAAGTTGCGCCTCCATTGAAGGAGTGCTGATATCAAGCATCCATGTTGCCGGATTATAGCCATCTTTGATCTTTGGAACGCCTGCAATGACCTGAAGCAGAGCATGTATGTCAAATCTAAAAGAAATTTCTACCAAAATGATAAAAAATGAGGTTGAGAAGGTGATAAATGAAGAAAACGTCCCCTATTCACCTCAAAATATTCTATGAGCTTATGTGAATGATAACCAAGAGATCCAGCATAGATAATTTGTCCTCCTCTTTTCATCAACAATAGCTACAAAAATCAATGAAAACAAAATTCTAAGATAAATTATTCAATATCTAATAATCTACAAAAAGAAATAACAGATTACACACAGTACTCTAGATATTTTCGATTCTAAACATACTTCATCAAAAGCTTCAAAAATGTCTATGCTTGGTTGGTGAATTGTGCACACAACGGTTCTCCCAGTGTCTACAGTATTTCTCACAGTTCTCATAACAATAGCAGCAGCTCTAGCATCAAGCCCAGATGTTGGTTCATCCATGAAGATAATTGAAGGGTTGGCAACCAATTCTACAGCAATAGTAAGCCTTTTCCTTTGTTCTGTTGATAAACCATTTATGCCTGGAAGACCCACTATAGCATCTTTAATCGATTTAAGCTCAACCAACTCCATAACTTCCTCAACAAACATCTACATCACCAAACACAGAGTTAAATTGAAAATATTTGCATTGAAAACTCAATTGTTACTCGGCGAAGATGAGAAAGACTATTCTAATTCTAACACACCTTTCGTGTTTGGGTATTTACATCTGAAGGAAGTCGAAGCCATGCTGAAAATAATAGTGATTCATACACAGTAACATATGGAGAATGAATGTCATTCTGTTCGCAGTAACCGCTAACACGAGCAAATGTTGCTTGGTTCTTTGGGTAACCAGAGATGGTAATACTTCCTTCAATGTATCCACCTGTTTTTCTTCCAGCTAAAACATCCATAAGGGTTGTCTTCCCAGCCCCACTAACACCCATAAGTGCTGTCAATATGCCTGGTCTAAAAGCACCACTAACATCATGTAGGAGTTGAAGTTTATCTTCATTGATTCCTTGGCTCTTCATTTCCTAATATATCGAAACAAAACCAAAAGCTTTAGCGTGTGAAATATGGCTAGGTCCTAGTGAATAATGTTAAATTTAGTGACTTACGGCTGGCATATCAACATAGTAGTTCATATGATCGAATGCAAGTGAAAGAGGTTGAAATGGCAGGGCTATTCTTGTTCTTTGTTCTTGATGAGAAGAACTAGCTATTTCTGATGAATTTTTCGTTTCCACGTCTCTACCTGGAACTCCAATTCATCAAAAAGTTTAAATAATTTGAATTCATTGAGAATAATGTTTAACTAAACTTCTCTAGAAATGTTAGAAAACCGTGAAGAATATCTTAAAAATTATTCATTAACCAAATTTAATGTAGCTGATTATTTATACCCTACATTTCCATAAAAAAGAAACAATGAAATACGCTTGAAATCAAACAAGAGTTACCTCTACTAATGATATGCTGTCTAGAGTTTGACCTTTCATTCTCCTTGTCATCTTCATCCACGATGAATGCCTTTGAATCACTGAAAGCTGAAATTTTGGTTTGATATTAAAAAAATACGGTTTGCTAATGGTGCAAATTCAATTCAATTATGGACTTAAAAAATAATAACTTACGATTCAAATAAGTCAATGCAGCAATAAAGAGAAGGTTGAAAAGAAAAGCAAAGCCAAGCAAGGCTCCAATGCATATCCAAAACCAATACTCTTCTGTGAAAAAGCCTCTAGACTTGAGAATTACTTTTCCAACTGTAGGTGCATCTATTCTAGGGTCTGTATTTGGCTGTAAAATTATAAAAAAATATTTTATAATGTTTAGAGTTTTCAAATGTAGTTTAGGCTCAATGTAAAGTTGTCTTTGTATTTGAATGTACATAGCATAGGCAGAGAAAAAAAAATGAAAAAAAAAATTTCTTACTTTTCTCCACCTTTCGTCTAAAAATTCATTTATAACAATGGCATTCTGACCATACATCATAGGAGAAATGTAATAGCCCCACATCATCCATGGCTTAATATCATCTGCAAGCATAAAAATAAAATTTGTTGAAATAAGTACTTGTTATAACCACTATAAAAGAAGAGTTACAAACATAAAAAATTCAATTTTAATATCAAAAGATTGAGAAGAGATTAATGTCTTACTTCTATCGACAATAAATCCTCCTAAAGCAAATACTAGATGATAAACTAAGCCATTCACTATACCAGCAACAACTTGCGTTCTACCAACTGCACCAATGAGCCGATATAGAGACATAGACATCTGATGAACACTAAAATATACCAAGAATTGTCGAAAAAATCTGAAGAAACAAAAGCATAAATGTTAATTTCTATTAAACATATAATCCTTACCAAATCCAAAATAGTAAAATAATTTGAAAAGTAATTTTAGTTGCCTACTACAACAAGTTGAACATAGAAAATTAAGAACTACATATAGATAAAGCAAAGTCATAATACCTGTAAGCTGAAGGAGCAAATCCAATGGTATAGTATGTGAGGACAATCCATAACCCTGATTCCACAAGGGATATAGGAATCTTAAGAACTGATACAGGTAATCCAAATGCCCATGCAGGGAAGAACATGAAGTCCCTTTGTTTGTAAAAGACAGGAAGCCTAGAAACAATTATGGCTCGTTCTGATGACCCATTAAACATCATATTCATTAGAGAAAAAAATAATGCCCCTAAGAATTTTTGTCCATCTTGTACAGTACCCACTGGCATTTCAGTTCTAAGAAATACAGTGAAGACTAAAATAGATAATACCGTAATCTGTGTCATCCTAAATATGTAAACAAACATGTCACGTTTCATAAGCAACCATTCTCTTGCGAAGCATGCCTTCAATAGTTCCCAGTTTGATATACCGTACTTTTCTTTCACTAATGCAGCTCGGTGGGTTCTGCTCTTATCATATGGAACCTTTAACTCTTGTGCAAGTTTCTCTCCTATGTGAAATGAATTGAAAGACTCAGCAAATTCAAGTGCTGCAATATATCTATAAGGTTCATCTCTTCTAAACCAATATTGTTCTTGATCTTTCTTGGAGGTTACTTCTTGTAAAAAGTCAGCAACTCCTTTTCTTGGAGGACATTTGAAACCCATGTTTTCAAAGAACTCAAGCACATTCTCACGTGGACCTTGGTACACAATTTGACCTTCTGAAAGTAGGATAATGTCATCAAATAGTTCAAATGTCTCTGGTGCTGGTTGTAGAAGAGATATCACCATGGTTTCATCCATTATATGAACCATTTGCTTCATGAACTTGCATATTTGAAAAGTGGTGGAACTATCTAATCCTGTTGATATTTCATCCATAAAAAGTGCCTTTGCCGGTCCTACAAGCATTTCCCCTACATATAGTTACAATTGAAGCAGTTAGTAGAGATTAATAGATAACTATAAATCTTTCCAGATGATAAGAAAAACGGTCAACTTGAAATGCTAGTTTAAATAAGTAATAATAGCAAGATTTTATTGAAAAAGGAAATATTTTTACATTTTTTTATCTCTATTATAATAAATATTTTCTTTTTTAATAAAAGTTTTTTATTATTAATTGTTAAACTTAACCCAAAAATTAAGGTAAAATTGTAAAAGAAGAAAGAAAATTACTTCTATCGCGACACTTTCATTTCAAAACTTTTTTGTTATCTGACAAATCTCCACGTTAGTGTCATTAAAGATAGTAAATATAGGTTACAAGTAGGATGAAATTAGATCACCTGATAATAAAGAAAAATTAAAATGTAAAAAAATAAAAAATAAAATTGTTGCCTTCTTGCCTTCTTTACCACTAGAGTTTAATACTAGGATTTTGATTGCGAATAATTAGCTTACCATAGATTTGAATTTTAACATGGTTAATTCAATATGTATGGATTAATTATTTAAATTTGTTGTTAATCTCTCAGTCTTTTAGTTTAAACATTTACAATATTTATTATATTAAAAATATAAAATATAAAATATAATCAATATTTTTCCTAATAAAATTTTACTATAATTACTTGTCTAAATTTAATTTTAAGAATTAAAATTAATAATTTTCATTATTTAATAACTCATTAAGTTTGTTAGTTAAGCATTAAAAAGAGCAGTAATTAACCTGTTGTGACACGTTTCTTTTGTCCGCCAGATATACCCCTTGCCATGTTATCACCAACCATAATGTCAGCGCAAATATCCAATCCAAGTATCTATAAGAATTCAAGACAATGTAAATAAAACGTAAATTATATAGAAGTATGGAGAGGTAATACTTATAATACATCAATGTCTTTTTAGTAGCAATGAATTTCTGTGCAAAGAAAAGAAAACATGAGTGATGATAAAAGCTATATAAAAGAGAGAGAATTTATGTCGGTGTGGTTACTAACCTTGAGAACATAATCAGTTGCCAAACTAGTTTTTTGGCCAGATATGGCTATAGCCTTCATGAATGCATCAATTTCAGGGTGAGGCTTAATTCCTGCTTCTCTTTCCCTTCTTGAAAGTTCTTCCAACATTGCATACCTTGTGCCTACACCTAAACAACGTCCTGAAAAATCTAATGTCTCTCTCACTGTCATTTGTCCACTGTGAAGATCATGCTGACTAATATAGGCACAAGTTTTTCTAGCAACAAATTCATTTAATTTATGGCCACAGTAAGTGATTCTCCCAGAAGCCTGGTCATAACATCAATTTTCATCAGTTATTTAGAATTACGCATAAGATTATATAAATTAATTACATGTTGTTTAAGTATTTTGATTTGCTCTAAGCAAAGAAAAATATGAAAAGAATTGTGATTGAACCTTTAAGTCCCGGTCAAGCTTCCCTGCAAGTGTTAGAAGCAATGTTGTTTTTCCTGCACCTGGAGGACCTAAGAGTAGGGTCATCCTGAGATTACAATGTTAAATAATTCAAATAAGGTTAATTCTTAAATACCATTAAGTAAATAATAGAATGATTAAATATAAATCAGCAACTAATTTCTCAATTAACTATTGTAATTTTCTTCTAGAAACTATTGTAATACAAGACACGAAAAATTCGACCATCTTTGAAACTGTTAATAATTTTTATTATTATTACTCATGCTCCTTAATCTCTAAACTTTTAAAAAGTATAATTTAACTCTTAAGGTTTTTAATGTATATATACAAATTAATACATCTATGAAAATCATGTGTCATTTAGCCCTAAATTTCGAGTAAATTTTAAATCACACATAATTCAAACGTCAAGATTTAAAAACGAAGTTGTATGACTCGAATCTTAAGTTACAAGCGTGTATTGTTCTCCCCTTTTTTCAAAAGTTACCTTGATGGTCTTACGATTCCACTGACATCTTTGAGAATTTGAATATTTCTCTTCTTGGAAGGTACAAGGTGAAACAATCCCATAATACTCTATCAAGCACACAATAGATGAATTAGAAAGAGTTATTTGAAATAACATCAATAGTTTCAAATTTAACGAAGATCATAAAGACGTTATCAATGAAGTATAAAGCATGCAGTTAAAGTTTACGTAGGAAGTTCTTGCTTTATATCAAAAGAAAAAATTTCCTCGATCACGGGTTCATATTATAGAAAAACAAAATAAAAATTGACCTCAAAAGTGTTGAGAGCAACGTTAAGTAAAGAAGGGAGTGCTCTTTTTCCAACGTACACATCTCCTTCCACCGATAAGTTCTCGTATCGGATTTCAATTTTTGGAATTTCAATCCCCACCCTGTATTATTATAAATTTACACACAGTCAATATTAGTGACAAAAAATATTGATTCTTGATGATAATAATAATAATAATAATAATAATAATAATAAATAAATAAAATTTTCACACTCATTTTTTCTTATATCCATTTTCTATCCTTTCTCTCTTTTTTTAATCGATCTCTTCTTTTTCTATCAAATCACTTATCATTTCTTTTTCTCTTTCTTTCTTCCACCTATTTAACACCCTGAATCCAAATAATCAATTTTACAGACAGATAGATACCGATTAATCCTATCTCTGAGTCTGCGTAGGAAATTTTCATTATCATCTTCCACAAACTTTAGCACACTCTCAAGTAACAACTTCTTATCTTGCAACCCAAGATTGGTGACATCAACTGGGCAATGCACAACCTTCCCATTATCAAGCATTACCCTCAGCATCCCTTTTCTCATGCGATCAAATGTGGGCAAGCGCTCAATGGCAGCCCATTTGAGATCTTCTTCATTATCCTCGTGTGTGTGTTCACCCCGCCGGAAGTTGAACACATCTGAAGTTGGAGATTCTGTCCATGCCGATCTGAAACTCGTAGACGGCCAGCTTCGGTGATTTCTTGTTCTTCTTACAAGATCATTCTCTGTGATTGTCAACGCCATTTAATTTCTAACTAAACAAACCTCAGATCTGTGAATTGATAATTTCAATTGAATAGCATGGTGATGTATATATTTCTCAAATTAATATAGTAGACACTTTGCATAAGTTTGGAAGGAAAGGGATACGAATGTAGAAATGTGAATGAACATTTGTTGGCATGTGTGTGTCATATATAAGTGTCTAAGAGATAGTTATGAAGAAAGGCGGTTTCATTCAACTCAGGTTGAAAGTTTGACTAAATTAAGGCCAAAAAAAATACCAATATAAATATGTATGTGCATTTGGTATAAAAATAAATCACTAATTATTTTATTTCTAAATCCGTTTATATGTAATATTAAAGTCTTTCTCTAAAGTTATTGCATGGAATATTTTTTTTTCTAAATTAGTAGGCTTTTAAAACAACTTTAAATTTGATTTCTTTATTAGGTTTGATTGTATTAACTTTTCCTTTATTATATATATATATATATATATATATATATATATATATATATATTTTTTTTTTTTTTTTTTTTTTTTTGTTGACTATTCATGCCTCTGATTTTTCAATTTTTTTTTACTTTAAGGTTATAATAAATAGCGACATGGCATTTTTACAAATTTATATTTTAAGTACTTCATTTATTTATTTGTTTGTTAAATTTTAATTTCTTTCATGTATATGTTTCTTGACATTTCATGCTTTTAATTTTTCAAATTTTAAATTTTTTATAGTTATTTTCCTAAATTTTCAAATAAGTCGTATTGAAAAATAATCAATTTAATTTATTATAAAAATTCTTAATATTATATACAATAATCTTAAATGGAGAAAAAAAATATCTATATAATACTCTTTAAATATTCCTTGTCACTTATTCTTACCTTTTATTATCTTTTAATTTTTTACATATAATAATTAAATTCCTTTTTTAAACTTTTCTACGTCATAAAAATTCATAAATTAGAAAAAATTTTAAACAAAAAAAATTCTAAACAAACTTATATGAAACTTTAGTAAGAGAGTTCTGATAATTTATAAAAATAAAACATAAATTTAAAATATTAAATTAAAAACATAATTTATACCATATATTTTATGTGCATCGTATGGATACAAAAATTAATTATAAGAAAAAACATTAAAAAAATTTAGTAAGTTAAAGTTAATATAAATTTTAAATTAGACAATAGTAGATGTTTTTTTATTTAATAAGCTTAGTGTTCAGGGTTTAATAAATAAGTTCACTTTCAAAAGTATTATTTATGTATGTGTGTGAAGAAAAATTGTTTCATTTCACTCAGTTTGAATGTTTGAGAAAATGGAGATCAAAATATTTACGTAGACTAAAATTTTAAATTGATTTTTAAAATATAAAAAATATGATTGATTTTTTTAATATAAAAGTTTTTAACGTGTAATTTGTTATTATTTTAATCTCTTAATTAAAATTTATTAATTATCTCTCATCGATGATGTAATGTCTTAGTGATTTGTGACATTTAATATTTTTTAACAATGTCAATTAAAAAATTTACAAAATAATGTTGTTAAAAACATATTTTGTTTTTCATTTTATCATTAAAAATATGCACAAAAAAATTTAATCGCTTATAACATTATTAATTAGCATAGTTAGATCGAGGTTAAAATGCTATATTACATTTAACATGTCATTAACTAATAAATTATAATAAAAAATAAATTTGGATAACAAATTATAGATTTAAAAATATGTTTTAAAGAGAAAATTGAATAATTACACCTCTTCGGAGACCAATTTGAGTTTGACTAACTGAAAATGAAAAAAGGACGTTTCATTCATGAAAGGTTGACTAATTGGAAATCAAAATATCAACATAAATAAATGTTCAATGTTGTACGCAAAAATTATTATAATGGATTTGTTTCAAAAATCTATATATTATTTTTTTTTATCAAGGTTAACAATTTAATTTTTTAATTTATATTTTATTAAATTATTTCATTTATATTTTATTAAATTATTTCAAAGTATTTAATTCATTAATTTTTTATTTATATGAAGTATTTTTTTTTTGAATTTTCACGTTTTCAATATTTTTATTTTAAGTTATTTTCATTTCATTTTCATATCTTAAAAATAAATTTTCACATGATATTTTTTTAAAATTTTTTATTCAATTAATTTATTAAATTATTAAATTCTTCATTTATTGTGTTATATATATATATATATATATATATATATATATATGCATGTATATGTATGTATATGTGTATATATTATTTGACTTTTTATGTTTTTAATCATTCAATTTTTTGTTTTCTTCTTTTCCATATAATGAAAAATATTTTACTGAGTTGCCACATGATCATTTTCTAAATTTATATATTTGAAATTATTCTAAATTAATTACTTCATTTAAATTAAATTTAGTTTTTAATTTATTTTGCATGACTTTTTATGTTTTCAACCTATTAAATTTCCATTTATATATTTGTTTCTATTTTTTAAATAAATAACAATTAATAATACATTAGGTTTATTAAATTATTCAAATTATTATTTTATCATATATTAATACTAAATATAGAAAAAAAGTATATCATAAAAGATCATTTAAATATTGCTTGTCATTTATTTGTAAATTATATTATCTTTTACTTTTTTCATGTTATAAAAAATTACAAGTTTATGGAAGTGATAAATTCAATAAATTATAGCAAATAAAAATTTTAAAAGAATTCCATCTGTCAATTTTTGAAGAATAGTCTTTATATTACGTAAAAAATGTAATAAATTTTTTATTAAAAGAAATAAAGTATTATACTAATATTTTTTATGTAATAAATTCTTAACCGCTTTTGAATGGTCAAAGATTCTTCAGGATTAGTATTAATATTTTATTTTTAAAAAAATAATGGATATTACCTTAAATTTATAAATAATAAATAAAAATGGAATAAGTCTAGATTCCCTAACATTTAATTTCTACAAATCCTTGTAATAAAAAATCTATTAATCTTTTTTATATATGATTTTAAGATAAAGGCATGCACATCTTATAATTAAAATTAAGGTAGTTTAGGATTATTTTTTTTCTTGCCCAAAATAAGATTAACTTAGTAATTTTAATTTTACATATCAAAAGATCATGGATGAAAATCGAAAATAAAAGACAGCGTTAGTTCCATATGGGTAGAGCTAAAAATAATTTAAATTACAATCCAAAGTGCTACCACTGTTTCCCATGCTGACAATTACTCCATTGCCCATCTCTACAATCCTGTGGACTAGATGAGTAACTGCACAACTATTCTTACATCAACGTTGAATAAGCATTGTTTTTTTATATTCTTTTCAAGATTATAAGCATTCATCTTTTTACGATTTTCTCTTTTTTTATCCCCTTTTTTATGGACATTGCGAGAATATAATATGCATAATGAATAAAAAATAAATGCACAGATGAATCTATTTATATAACTTAATTATAACATGTTAATTCCATAAAAATTATTAGTTTTACTTACATTTCAAAAAAGTTTAAATATAAATTAAGTCAAAGATTTTTCGTATTATGATTTTTTTTTCAATCCAGAACTATTATAATAAAATATCCAAGTAATAAAATTAAATAAAAATCTGTTAAAATATTATAAATACAGGAATTTTAATATTACACGAGTCATGCATAACAGAAACAAACTTGAAGGCTTGCTTATCTCCCCTAGGAGTAGCTCCTCCCTAATGAGTTAACCGCTCTTCACTTTAATCATGTCATGATTCATTCCAAGAACTGTTCAGTCTTCTTGATATCTCCATCAAATAAATTATCTTATTCCAACACAACTTTTCTTAAAAATATATGTTTTACAGACAATTATTTTCATAGACGAACCAAATTTATCTTTTATAGTAAAAGTCTGAGTACGTAGTTATCATCGTTTTTGGAAGTTCAAGAATTTGATGCTATAAGCAAAAATGAACATGAAGAGGAGCGCCCAGCCCACATGAGCAGCAGCAACCGCAGGAAGGAAGTCATGGTGATAACCCAAGCTCTGTTTAAGATATTCCTTAAGGCCCATATTTGGTGCTCCTGGGATCACCAGTTCTCCATCTTTGTTACCCAATTGAGAGGTAACAAGGCCATACACAGTCCATGCAATTGGAGAAGCCCAATAGTACCATCTCCACCAAATAGGAATTTGCTGAAACATTTAGTGAAAACCAAATACACACACAAAAGTTTAGATATCCAAAAGCAAAGAAAGAGCCTAATCCCACACTCAAAATATGATTTATATAGTCACTTACCGTTCTTGGAATGATGAAGCCAGAGAACAAGTTCCACAAACTAATGAAGAAGGACATACAAATGGCCGCAATTTGGTGGCTTGGGGTTAGTGCAACAACCATCATCCCATACAACGTGAAGTAGATAAAACACATTGCTACATAGTAGTAGAACCAAAAGAATTTCCCTGCCTTCCATTCAAACCCAATCATAGAAAAAAGGACAAGAGAGTAAATAGCCGCTTGAATTACGTTGTAAATTGCCTCTATTGCAACCTGGTATAATCAGTGAACCACATTTAGTTTTAAGCATGCTTTCTTTTCCATTTGTCATAATCTCCAAATTTGGGTAGTTTTCAACTTAAAGAAATATTTTATTCATTTTTTATATTTTTATAAAAGTTTATTCAAACTGGGTCTATGCATCTATAATTGAAACGAAGTATTTTTAATAAATATAAATATTATGGAAACATCGTAAAGTAGTACATACCCTTATACATAAGACAAATTAACTTCATATATCTCTACAATGTTTAAAAGTATACCTGGCCAAATGTATAGGACAATGGAGAATACATCCCTGCTGCTTTTTCACGATACAAGACAGTTCTTTCTATGTCAACAACTGGTTGCACTCCGGAAGCGTTCATGTTTCCAAGGAAAATCACAGAAGCGTATATGGCTCCCAAAATATTCATTAAATCTTGTTGTGTGTGGCTGTCAATTTAATAATAGTCAATACTAAATTCAAATGCAAGCTTAAATGTGCCGGCGTGGTTATAATATAAGAATACCAAATACGATTAACAAGACACAATAGTGGATTTATGTATTTTCAAGAATATACGAGTCAAGTGTTAATAATGACTTACGTCTTTTTGGCTTCATGCCAAAATATTAAACCAAACATTACTCCCATGATTGATGTCATGAAGAATCGTGTGCCATTATACTGAGGATTTCTCCAGTAGGACCAGTTTTGTTTCCAGAAACAAGCTTTGCACTGTACAAGAAACGGTTGAGAATATTTTGTTGGGAAGAACAAGTCTTCGGAACCTGGTGCTGGAATACTGAGCTCTTCGATAATTTCCTGGTTCCTCCTATAGATATTACACAGAAAATGATGATTTAAAAGCTAATATTATTCGTGCAACATAGATCTCACGTAGTGGTAGCACAAAGCACAAGGAAATGACTTACTGGTAAAGGGTGGAGTTAGCATAAACCTCAGCAAAATCTACATTAAGTTGAGCCTCCATTGTAGAAGCGCTGATCTCAAGCATCCATGTTGCAGGATTATAACCATCCTTAATTTTTGGAACCCCTGCAATAGCCTGAAGCAAAGTATGTGTATTAGAACTTAATGAAATTTTCACCGTTGGAATTAATTATAACAAGTCTGCAGTGCTCAACATGAAGAAAGTTATGAACACTTTAGATGATAGCAAAATTAAAGAAAGCTTCAATACTTACTTCAAAATATTCTACCAGCTTTTTTGATTGATGACCAAGAGGTCCAGCATAGATGACTCGTCCTCCTCTTTTCATCAACAATAGCTGTAAAGAAAATATCAAACAAACTAAATTTCATGATACTTTTCTCATACTAACTCTCTCAAAATCTTAAGCGATTAGGTGAAACTACACCAATGGTTTTATATGTTATGAACCAATTACTGTTCCAAAAGCTTTAGCATGTGCCTGTTTTGACATTAGCACATATTGCAATGCTTTCAGAGAAGAAACGATGTGCTAATGTGGGGAAAATGACCTTTGAGTGCTTGAGAGCAAGCACAAAAACACACACTAAGATGTTTGTTGAAGTCATATGAATGATTTTATATATAACAATATGTAATATTCGGAAAAATAAAAATAAAAACAAAAGATGAAATGACACATTACACATGAACTTAAGATCTTTGGAATTAAAACTTGCCTCATCAAAAGCTTCAAAGATATCTATGCTTGGCTGGTGAATTGTGCACACAACTGTCCTCCCAGTGTCTACTGTGTTTCTTACAGTTCGCATAACAATTGCAGCAGCTCTAGCATCAAGCCCAGATGTTGGTTCATCCATGAAGATAATTGAAGGGTTAGCAACCAATTCTACAGCAATAGTAAGCCTTTTCCTTTGTTCAGTTGAAAGACCATCTATGCCTGGAAGGCCTACTATAGCACCTCTAATCGATTTAAGCTCAACCAACTCCATAACTTCCTCAACAAACACCTACATCACCAAACACAAATAGAACTACATTAAAATTATGTTGAAAATAGCTGCATTAAAAACTTAATTAGTTGTTAAATGACTAAGATGATAAAGACTATTCTTACACACCTTTCGTGTTTGGATATTTACATCTGAAGGAAGTCGAAGCCATGCTGAAAATAATAGCGATTCATATACAGTAACATAAGGAGAATGAATGTCATTCTGTTCGCAATAACCGCTAACACGAGCAAATGTTTCTTGTTTCTTTGGGTAACCAGAGATGCTAATACTTCCTTCAATGTACCCTCCTGTTTTCCTTCCAGCCAATACATCCATGAGGGTTGTCTTCCCAGCACCACTAACACCCACAAGTGCTGTCAATATGCCTGGTCTAAAAGAACCGCTAACATTATGTAGTAGTTGAAGTCGATCTTCAGGGATTCCTTGCTTTTTCATTTCCTGATGTAATAAAATATCTAAGCATCAGAGATTTTGAAGTTAAATTTTTCTACTAAACTCCAATGGTGTGATAAACATACAAAGACATTATTTCTGTAAGAACTTATGACTCCACGTAAGTTGAAAATGGTATATAATGTCATGCAACAAAGGTGGCTGATTTTCTAGTCAATATGAAGTATAATGAAGGCAAATCTATCCACGTAAGTTGAAAACTTAGGAATAACAAGCAAAAAGTACTGTCCAGAACAAAAGCGTGAAGGGCATTTTATGTCGCTTGTTTTGGAAATTAAGCAGGAAAAAAACAGAAGAAAACTGAAAATGTGGGAAACATATAACAAGATTTTGGTATATTCAATGCATCAAAAGAATCTAGTAAATACAGTAGATAGTTGCTTGTGTGAAAGTGATGTTACAGAAAACAGGGTAGGGACATTCACACGAAGCTAGATATTTCTCAATCATAAACAATGTAAGGTAAATAAACACTGAGATATGAGCTTTTCATAATTGATTGACTTACAGCAGGCATATCTACATAGTAGTTCATGTGATTGAATGAAAGCGAAAGAGGTCGAAATGGCAAAACCATTCCTGTTCTTGGTTTCTGATTAGATGATTCTCCTTCATCTGTAATTGGTTGGAAAGGTGGAGTATTGAGTGAAATAGCCTCATTGAATTCCATAAGAACATTTTGCAACTATACTTCACTAAAAAGGTTGCAACAACATGAATAAAATTTGTACTTACAAAAACTCAAATTCATTCAGTACAGTTGGTGCAATTAAATAACTTAAAAGTTGTTTTTTAAAACCAAAATTGAAGTTATTGGTTAGTTATACCATATAATTCTATAAATAGCAATGAAATGTTCTTCAAATCAGTAAGAAACAAGGGTAAAGGAATAAGATATTAAAACCTGCTACAGTTTGCGGAATAGAGGTTGACTTTTTATCATTCTTGTCACCTTCATCCATGATGAATGCTTTTGCGTTTTCGAGAGCTGAAATTTTAGTTTGATTTTAAAAAGGTTTACCAATACTGAAAACTCATTAAATTAATGACTATTTAGAAAATAGATGTAACCTACGATTCAAATAAGTCAACGCAGCAATGAACATAAGATTGAAAACAAGAGCAAACCCAAACAATGCTCCAATGCATATCCAAAACCAATAATCTTCTGAGTAAAAGCTTCTAGACTTGAGAAGTAATTTTCCAACTGTAGGTGCATCATGTCTAGGGTCTGTATTTGGCTGCAAAATGTTTAAGCATTTGACAATACTTGGAGTTAATGGGAGCAATATAATTAAGCTCAACGCTAATTTGTTTTTGTGTTTATACATAGCGTAGACATTAGGAAACAAGAATGAGAAAATTGAGTTCTTACCTTACTCCATCTTCCATCTAAAAATTCATTTATTACTATGGCATTCTGACCATAAGTCATAGGAGAAACGTAATAAGCCCATCTTATCCATGACTCAATATCATCTGTAAGCACAAAAAAAAAAAAAAAAGTCGAACTAACTATGTTCAAAACCTCAAACTAGAGAATTTTGCTGAAAATAAAATACTTAAGAAAATATTAAAATTATTTTTTTCTTAAACTTCAAAATGAAAAAAATGCTGATTTGCATAAAAAGAATTTCTTAAATTACATTGCTCCTACAAAATTAAGTGTTCAGTGAAATTACCTTTAGCAATAACATAGCCTCCTAGCACGAATACCAGTTGCAAGGTTAAGTATGCTAGTATATTAGCCATAACTTGTGTTCTACCAACTGCAGCCATGAACCGAAAAAGAGAGATACCCATCTGATGAACAGCGAAGAATGCCAAGAATTGTCTAAAGAATCTAACGAAATATAGTGACACATGTGAAGCAAGAATTAATATTCTTTTCAATCAATACAGTATAAAAAATATATCACAACCTTTAAAGATAGAACAAAAACTAACATCTCAATGATAAAAAAAAAAAAAATTAGACATTTTTTATCCTTATAATTTTACATGTTTTAATTTTGTGTCCCTTACAAACTTTTTGTTTTGATTCATACATTTTTTAACTTTTGATTTTGTCCCTCCCATTAATGTGACATCACAAGAAATTGACAACAATTTTTTAATTAGTCACATCTTTATTTAACAATCACGAGAAATCAAAGTCCTACGTTTAAAAAAACCAGAGTTCCAAAAATAATTAGAGAAACTATAAAAAAAAATGGTAAAAATCTATGAAGTAAATATATATTTAAGTGAAAAAAAAAAATGATTTTAGTTACTTAAGACTACCAAACAGATAAGGTAAACTCATAATAGGTACCTGTGAGCTGCAGGGGCAAATCCAATTGTATAGTATGTAAGGATAGTCCATATGGCTGATTCCATCAAGGAGAGAGGGATCCGAAGAATCGACATAGGCAACCCAAATGCCCATGCAGGATAGAACATGAGATCTCTCTGTTTGAAAAAGACAGGAAGCCTGAAAACAGTCATGGCTAGTTCTGGCATCCCATTAAACATCATATTAAATAGGCCATAAAATAGTGCTCCATAGAATTTTCTCCCATCTTCAACGTTGCCCACTGGCATTTTTGTTCTAAAGAACACAGTGAAAGCCAAAATAGACATGATTGTTATCTGTGTTGTCTTAAATATGTAAACAAAAGAATTACGCTTCATAAGCAACCATTCTCTTGAAAAACATGCCTTCAATAGTTCCCAGTTTGGTACACCATATTTTTGTTTCACTATGGCTGCAGGATGTGTTCTACTCTTATCATAGGGTACCCCAAGTTCTCTCTTAAGTTGCTCTCCTGTGGGAAACGAGTTAAAGGATTGCACAAACTCAGCAACTGGAATATAGCTGTATGGTTCATCTTTTCTATACCAATATTGTTCTTGGTCTTTCTTTGATGTTACTTCTTGTAAAAAATCAGCTACTCCTTTTCTTTCAGGACACTTGAAACCCATGCATTCGAAGAACTCGAGCACATTCTCACGTGGACCTTGGTACACAATTTGACCTTCTGAAAGTAGGATAATGTCATCGAACAGTTCAAATGTCTCTGGTGCTGGCTGTAGAAGAGAAATGGCGGTGGTTATATCCATGATATGAACCATTTGCCTCAGGAACTTGCATATCTGAAAAGTGGTGGAACTGTCCAATCCTGTTGATATTTCATCCATTAAGAGTACATTTGCTGGTCCTACCAACAGCTCCCCTACATTGCAAGTTCCCACAAAACCAATTAGCGTAAATCCATATATATATATATATATATATATATAAATTATTAGTTTCTAACAAAGAAGTCAACCTGTGGTGACGCGCTTCTTTTGTCCACCAGAAACGCCCCTTGTCATTTCACAGCCAACCACAACATCAGCGCAAATATCCAATCCAAGTATCTGTTAGAATATGATAAAAAGTTTATATATATACATTGAAATCATCTATCAAACAGTATTCACTTAACAAAGATTACGAAAACAAATTAAATAAAAACCTTGAGAACATATTCTGTGATCAAACTAGTTTTGTTGCCTGCAGCTAATGTTATAGCCTTCATGAACACATCAATCTCAGGATCTGGCATAATTCCTGCTTCTTTTTCTCTTTTTGAAATTTCTGCCAACATTTGATACCTTGATCCAACACCTAAACAACGTCTTGAAAAATCTAATGTCTCTCTAACCGTCATTTGTCCTTGATGAAGGTCTTCTTGGCTAATGTAGGCACTTGTTTTTTGAGGAACAAATTCATCTAGTTCATGCCCACAATATGTAATTCTCCCAGAAACCTGCTCATAATATTAAGTTCATTTTGTTGTAAAGGAAAGAGAACGTTAATTACCTATTTTCTAAAATTTGTATGTTTCACTCTTTCATGTAAATTCGTTATCCAAAAACAAGAATCAGGGAACATAATTTTTTACCTGGTTTCATTTGAATATTTTGAATATTTTTTTTATTAATTTGAATACAAAAATTTACACGTCATTTATAATTTTTTTTGGATCAAGGAATCAAATTAGGTACTTTGAGGATATAAAAAAAAAAGGTATTTTAGGACATATTCATATTCATATTATTATTATTATTACTACTACTACGACAATGAGAAAAAAAAAACTTTTCATACAAATATGATTGTTTCAAGAGTATCGTGTTATGATTTTTTATACAATAATATATTATGTCTATGATTTGAGATGATTTTATTATTTTGAATATGTTGAATAATATTTAGTTATAAAATAACTTTAAAAAGTGAAATGATGATTTTTTATATGTTTGTATTTTTTTTTTTCAAAAAGGCTTTATGCTAAAATTCCATAGCTGGTACCTAAATTATGGATATATATATTTTTGTTGTGAACGATTGGCTATTCGATTGATAAATGCAGGGAAAGACTATTAACTAAATATAGTCGTTCCAGTAGAACTCTGTTTTATATGATTTGAGAAAGAAATAGCTACTGTTCCGAAGAAAATATTATTTTAAGCGACGTTTGGTGTAAGGAATATTTTATGTTTTTTCACAATAATTTAATTAAATTATATTGAGATTATAAAGATTTTTCTTACAGATGTCTAGTTTTAATGGGAAAAATTATTCACTTTTTCAATTAACAAAGTTATTTACTTTTGCAATATTTAATATAAAATTTATATTTATAATATATAAATTTTTAAATTGATAGCGTTTAAAATAGTAATAAGAAAATTTTAAGAAAAAATTAGACATAAAATATTCTTAAAATATTTATTTATAAATAAGTAAAGATAAAAAAAAAATTTAATAGAGAGCTAAAGTTAAAAAAAATCACAAATAAATACTACATGGTGTAAGAACACTACGAAACAATAGTTGCTCTAATTGTATAAAAGGTTAAAAATAAACTAATAAAATTAAATTACGATGCCAAGTCGTACTAGCAAACATAGGTAGAAGTTAACTTTCATATGAATGTATAAATAAGTAAAGATAAAATTGCTTCACTTTTATAAATAAAAGGAAAATTTTATCATGATAATTATATGTAAAATTAATTTTTTATTTAAATAAAATTTTAGTCTTTTAAAATTTTATAATTTTTTTAAAATTTTATATAATATAATTTTTATATAATTTTTTCATTTTATCTCTTTATTAGTAATTTACTCACTTATTTTGTTATTAATATATTTACATAACATTTAAATTGGTTCATATAACTTGATTAAGAAATAAATTAACAAGATATTTCACTGCAAGGGGATGTCTTTGGTATTTTCAATTGAAATTTTAAATTGTACAGTTAAATATTTTTAAATTAAGATTTACAAATAATAAAAATGCTGATGTCAAATCCTTATCTATATTAATTTTATGTCTAATTATATTAGTTAAAATAAATATTACATTAGCAGATATTAGAAAAAAGTAACGAATCATACTATGTTATAAAGGAAAATACTTTTTGAGAGAATGGTCTAAAAAATAATCAAATAAAAGATCAAATAAAAAATATGAATTTTCAAGGAAGTAAAGGTTTATTTGAGCAATACATTTTTTGTAATAATTATATATAAACAAATTATTTTAAAAAATTGAATAATAACTAACTATATTACATATATTTTTCATAATTTTATTATTAAAAGTCTCAATTTTTAAGAAGATAATTTATTTAAAAAATGAAAAAGAGATTGCAAATGGCACGAAAGAAAGGATTATCAACAAAGCAGAATAAGCATACCTAGCTAGCTTTACTTCTCTCATTTATGGGCTGAGTATCACAGTCTAAATCATGATATAACTGTTTGGATTCGAATTCTTTCATGTTTAGGCACAAATACGAGGATTATGTTAATATATTTTAATATTTTTGCTTAAGTAAAATTTTATTCGCTTAAACGAAAGTGTAAAAATATTCTAACATAACCCTCATGTAACGAGAGAATCCTTTCTGTAACTTTTTTGAAAAAGTGGATAACTAAGTTGCACACCTTTTTTTTTGTTTGTCGTCTAATTATTGTACTCAGTTAATTTCCTGCTGGGTCTTATCAAATTAACTACTACTATCTTCCAAATAAGAAAGACAACAAATAAATAATTAATTGAGAAATTAATAGACATTAGTCACGTTACCCAAAAAATTAGCAAAACAAATTGAAAAAACAGAAAGAAACCTTCAACTCCTGGTCAAGTTTTTCTGCAAGTGCCAAAAGCAACGTTGTTTTTCCTGCCCCTGGAGGACCCAAAAGTAATGTCATCCTGAAATGTTCACGTCACATTAAATTTTAGTTAAAAAGTTCATAATTTTTTGTTTGAAAAGAGAGAACCCACCAATTCAGTGGATTTGAAAATTTTTCTGGAGGATCTCATGGGATGCATGAGTGCTGCCAACTTTGAAGTTACGTGCAAAATAAATAAAATGATTGTCCATTATCAACCTAAGTTATTTTTCCTTTCGCTATTAAAATTATAAGCTGTCAGAAATTACACGTCAGGAAACACCTGTCCTATTCATCCATCTTTCAAGTCCTTTAAGTTATTCTGATTTCTGTTTGGAAAAATGGAAAACAAATTACGCTCTTCAGCATTTTTCTTTCTATTAAGATATTCTATTGTGATTTTTCGTGCAGTTTGATAAGCTACGTACCTTGAGGGTTTGATGATTCCACTGATGTTTCTAAGAATCTGAATTTCTTTCTTCTTGGAGGGTGCAAAGTGAAACATTCCCATAATACTCTGTAGTGCACAACACATGAATCAGAGATTCAGAAACAAATATCTAAATCTGCAACAGCGTGTTTAATTCTCCGTCAAATAATCACGTAACACGAAAGCTATATAGCATCCAAGTAAACTTACGTTTTTAGGTCATTTTACGCGGTTCCAAATCTATGACAAATCCCAAAACCCCACGCACGGGATCAACACCCTCAACATATAAAACACTATGTTGTGAAAGTAGCAACAAACCCCTTTTTTTTTTTAATTACGAGAGTAATACATACACATAAACATGTAACGTCAACGTTAAAAATATAAATATACATAATAAAAATGTCATGCATGAAATCTTATAATAATAATCGACTATTATGGAGGCAGTTATCTCCATAACGACCAACATAAATCCGGTGTGAAAGCATTCTTATTTTACATCAGAAAATAAGGTTCTTGAATCTCTATTGATTTCATTAAGACTAATTGATTTAAAAATATAAAAACCATGACAAAAAAACATGTCTCTGGTTACGGACCTCCAAAAAGTTGAGAGCAGTATTACGGAGGGTAGGAAGGGCTCGGCTCCCAACATGCACATTTCCCTCCACCGTCAAATTCTCGTACCGCACTTCAATCTTTGGAACATCAATCCCCACACTGTGTTGTGTTCGTACCAAACCAAACCGTCACAGGAAAAATAGATATAAAAAATAATTTTAAAAAGAAAAGAGACAGTAAAAATTAAAACAGATTAATATTAAAGACCTATCAACTCTGTCTCTGACTCTACGTAAGAACTTCTCGTTGTCTTCCTCCACAACCTTGAACACGGTATCCATTAGAGTCTTCTTGTCATGGAAACCAAGCTTGGTAACATCAATTTCATGAGACACAACTTTTCCATCATCAAGGACTTGCTTCAGCAACCCTTTTCTTATGCGGTCATAAGTTGGCAAACGCTCAATAGCAGCCCATTTGAGTTCGTCTTCGTCATCGTTGTGCGAGTGGCGACTACTCGCGCTGAACACGCCCAGTGCCGCAGCCATAAACGTCTCCCTGAAACTCAAGCTCCGGTCACCACTGCTTGTGGAAATGGGTGGAGCATTTTCCACTAATGACGATTCCATTGGGTTTATTTATATTCTCAAATAATTAACTACTGTAATTAGATGAAGTAACAATGGATATTAGTTATGTTTTTGTCTTACTCAAGCTCTTTCACACTCACCACACTCTTCTGTCGTTGCAGAGAAGGGGCAGGAAAGTCGGTGTTGGAGGAAGGAGTAAAGGAGATGTGAGACTAAAACCTGATATTTGGCTAAGACAGCTATTAATTTATAAACTATTTTTCTTACACTCGTGCAATATAAATAAAAAATGTATTTTATAATAAATATGATAAAAAGTTGTATACCGTAAATTTTTATTTATTTTAATAATATTACGTAAGTTAAAAAAATATTAATTTATAAGAATTTTCTGTACGTGTAATCTTTGGTAATTCTTATAGTTTTTAAGAGTTTTAATTTAACTGCACTAAAATTAAAAATTTTTAATATAGTTTTTTATTATAATTTTATTTTTGAAATAATGTAATTTTAGTATGATAGTTTTTACTAGTATTTTTTTAGAAAATATAACAAAATACACTTGGTGCTTTTTTTCATAAAATGTGTAAGCACCAAACAAGCATAATTAATTGGTGGGTGAAATCTAACATGCACTTCTATGAAGTAACACCACGATGGTCCTCGTCAACTTGATTGCTTAGGTTAGAAAATTAGGAGTAAGGGAAGGAGAAGATAAGAATTTTCTAAGTTTAAATTGCATGGAAGGATGGTCCCTCCATTTGGGGAAAGTGAGGGGAGACATTAGATAGTGTGAGGGAGGGGGTAAAGGGGGCATATGGAATGCTTTTGTTTTGCTTTTTAATTTTTTGAAATGTTAATATAATATAAAAATTATAAATAATAATTTTTTATTAAAATATTATCATAATTTTTTAAATTTTTTTACTTATCTAAATAAGTAAATTTTTTATTTTTTATTTTAATGAATTCAAACATCAAATATTTTTTATTTCTTTTTTACTTCTCATCTAAATAAAAAAAGAAGGAAGAGAAAATTAAAGTTTATTTGATAGTAATTTTTGTTTAAAAATTTTTAAATATAGGAAAAATTATAAATCTTCTAAAACTCTCATAAATTCATATTTTTAAGTTTTTTTTAAAAATTATTAACTTTTTTTCCCTTTACTCTTTAAATTATTTCCTTACCTTTTCTTCACTTTCCAAACTTGTGTACAAGCCTTTAATAATTTGATAGAAATCGTAGAATCAACAAGAATTACTAGTTGTCCAAAGTAAATGAGTTTAAACGGAAATCTTTGCATTTCTGTCAATAATGGTAGAATGATAGAAATCTATAACTTGGTCCATTGTAGATGAATGACATCGACTCTAATTGATATTTTATATTTTTTTTATTAAACGAAGGAGATTCAAAATCCAAATACTAAAATTTTGTAAATTTTCAATTTTGTCCCTTGCCCAAATATACAGTGTATAATCCAATGGATTGCTTATTTAAGGGGAAGTGAGCCAAGTGAAAGAGAAGATGCGGTGGACTTTGTTTGGATTTCCATGGATCGTGTAATGGCAGCTATGGAGTTTGGCTGTGGCAAAGATGGTTGCAGCCTTGCAGGGAGGATTCTTTTCACACCATACATTTTTAGTTATTAATTAAATTTTATTAAAAATTATAAATATATATGTCTTACTCATAATTTAATTATTCTTATTCTTAATTTAATATATTTTTAAATTTTATTAAAAAATATATTCTAAATACACTCTTCGTCTTAAGAAATTTGATCTTTGCCAAGAACTCAAATTATGTTGTGGGAGAACTCACCCTCACCACTCAATGATATTTTTTTCCTTCCTTTTTCTATTAGGTTTCTAAAAGAAATAACTTTACGAAAACCTCCCAATTATGATACGGATTTATGGCAATTAATGTTAACTTCAAGATGTAAAAATAGGTTTACCCTTTTGTCAATAATTGATGTTCTTCTAGAACGTTAGCCTTATTCTTTGACTATCTTAGTTGTGTAAAATGTTTAGGTTTTAGAAATAGCATTACATTTAAAAAAATTTGAAATTGAAGTGCGTTGAAGAAAATAAATATATTAGGTTCTTGTCCCATAAAATGTAAAAAATCCATAAATTAAAATACATAGTTATTACATTATTTTATCTTTATCCACAATTGTGATTATGCTGTGAGAGTTTAATTCTACCACTCCCATGTCTCGTAAATCTATTAAAAACTTCCGAAAAGAGATGTAAACTTTACAAAAGCTTCCTATTTTTTATGTCGGTTTATGACAATTGATGTTAAATATTTATACTGTACCAATTATTAATAAAAAAGTGAGAATAATATTTTGTAACAGTTATTTTTTTTTAATATTTGAAATAATTGCACTTATTTTTGTTTATGTAATTAAGTTTATTGAAAGAGTTTTTTTTATGTCAAAATCTCCTCGCTGTGGCTTGTTGAAGGTAATGGAAGAAGTACATGTTATCTCATGTAGGAATCATTTTCTCTTTCTCTGTGTATAATATTATACATGCAGAGAACCAGAGATTATATGGATTGTAACATATTTAGTTTATGTTTATTAAATTGGAGGAACATGTCCTGCCAGAAATATTACATGTAAATGAATCTTTCAAAACACACAATTCCTAATTGCTATTGAAGTTGAAACTGGAATTGATGAACAAGAAATTACGAATCTGGTGATTACAGGGAATGAATATTGTAAAAGTGGAAATATAGGCCAGAAAGGAATAACACATTGTGAAACATCCGCACTTGCTCTTCAGCCTTCAGCCAATGCCACTGCCACTGCCAAATGCTCTCATAACTTCATGCATTGTAATATTGTCACTCTTAAATTAAAGGGTGGGATTCATATTCAGTGTTCTCACGAATGTAACGTATACCTGTTTACCTATTTATATACTCATATTTCCTATTGGTTGGACTTACTAAAAGTGGAGATTTCTGAAGCATCATTATTATGAGCACATGAATTCCTATACTATTAATTTTTAAAATAGGAAAAATAAAAAATTTACATGCAATGCTAAAACTTATATGACTTTGTTCAGACTATCTTCTTTGGAAATTCAAGAATTTGATGCCATAGGCAAACACAAACAAGAAGAGGAGAACCCAGCCTAAATGAGCAGTTGCAACAACTGGAAGGAAGTCATAGTCAAAACCCAAGTTTTGTTTAAGGAATTCCTTAAGTCCCATGCTTCCAGAACCTGGTATCTCCAATTCTGCATTTTTGTTACCCAATTGTGAGGTAACAAGGCCATACAGTGTCCAAGCAACAGGAGAAGCCCAATAATACCATCTCCACCACACGGGAAGTTGCTGTGTAACATATAGGAGAAAATATTAGCTTTTATAAGAAGAATAAAGAGTATCATTTCCATAATTGAATTATTAATTGCATATAAAAAAATGGTAATTACTTACTGTTCTTGGAATGATAAAGCCAGAGAACAAGTTCCAGAAACTCAAGAAGAAGGACATACAAATGGCAGCAACTTGGTGACCAGGTGTTAGTGCAACAATCATCATCCCATACAACGTGAAGTAGATAAAACACATTAATATATAGTAGTAGAACCAAAAAAAGCTTGCTGCCTTCCATTCAAATCCAATCATGGAATAAAGGATAACTGAGTAAAGGGCTGTTTGAATTGCATTATAAATTGCTTCTATTGCCACCTGCATAATCAATGAAATTTTTTTAGTTTGAATATACTTTCTTTCTTTTTCATCTAAACGAGGCTATTAGCGTATTACCCATGCAAAGAAATATTTGTCATTTCAAAAAACAGCATAAATTTAGCTTCACTAAATAAAACGAAAATTAATTTGTCGGCTTTTTGTTAAATCCAATAAAAGGGTGTATTTATGTCACTTCAACTTTGCTTTTGTACCTGACCAAATGCATAGGGCAATGCAGAGTACATCCCTGCTGCTCTTTCACGATAGAAGATAGTTCTTTCAATTGCCACAACTGGTTGCACTGATGAAGCATTCATGGCTCCAAGAAAAAGCACAGCAGAGTACATGGCTCCCAAAAGATTCATTAAATCTTGTTGTTTATGGCTGCCAAAAGAATTTGTTAACCCAACATCAAAAAGGAATATTAACTTGAAAAGCAAATTTTAATGTGAAAGATTATGACTTATTAGAATACCAAACACGATATGAGTGGTATGTAAAGCCTTGTGTGTCTTTAATATTATTGACAAGTTCAGTGAATATGTAAAGTATCAATGACTTACGTCTTTTTGGCTTTATTCCAGAATATTATACCAAACGTTAGTCCTATGATAATTGTCATGAAGAATCGGACAGCATTATACTGACTATATCTCCAATAGGACCAATATTGTTTCCAGAAGTTAGCTTTGCACTGAACAAAAAACGATTGGGAATATTTGGTTGGGAAGTACAAGTCCTTCGAATTTGGTGCTGGGGTACTGAGCTCCTCAATAAGTTCTTGATTTCTCCTGAAGAAAAGTAAAAACAAAACAAGAGTCATAACTCATAAGGACATAATTCTGGTAGCCTATGAGCAATCCAAAAAGTAACATAAAAAAATCATACCGGTAAAGGGTAGAGTTAGCATAAATCTCAGCAAAATCTACACTGAGTTGAGCCTCTATTGAAGGAGAGCTAATCTCAAGCATCCATGTGGCAGGATTATAACCATCCTTGATTTTTGGAACCCTTGGGACAGCCTGGATATATGCACAACAGATATACACATATATATATATGAAACTTTTGTGGCTGAAATTATAAGAAGCCCATGGTGCACAAAATATGAAGCTGTCTAATAACATAGAAAAGTTTCAATACTCACTTCAAAATATTCTATTAGCTTATGTGAGTGGCGACCAAGAGGACCCGCATAGATAACTTGCCCCCCTCTTTTCATCAACAATAGCTACAGTAACAAAAAAAGGTTACATACAATAATCAACAAAAGAAATGACCTAGAAACTCTACAGTCTAGAGTCCATACTTA